GGCAGCGTCAGGTAAAAAAAGTTATTTAGCCTTCCCAAACCTGAGCCTCACGCGCCGCCTATGGGGGATGTGCTAGTGATTTATCCGACCGGCCCACTTCGGTACCGGCCCATCGGGATTCGTCCCGATGGCCAGTCCGCCACTGCACCCAGCCCACGTAAACTGTCAACGGGGGGAGCCTCGCTGCGGGGGAAACGGTGGACCTAGTGTCCCGATCGGAGTGGGAATAATAATAATAATAATCCGTGCATTTTATCCATTAATTTCCCCAACATTGTGGTGAAAAAAACACACGTTTAATCCATGTTGGTGTACTACAACTACAAAAAGCATCGGTTTGTTTTCTCATCAGGAAATGCAGACCGGCTCAAACAAACGATTTTTAATCATCATCCTCACGATCATTTAATATGTTCGCCGAATTGACACGAAAGCACTAATACATGTAGTTTCATCCACTTGAGTTTACAACTACAAAAATAATCGATTTGTTTTTATATCACATCCGACGGGAGGAAATTCAGTAGCTCTCACTACCGATTTTTAATCCTAATTTAATCATCATCTTCACCACGATCATTTATGTTTATGTTCGCCAAATTGACATGAAAGCACTGACAAATATGAATATACTGTAGTCAACTTCATTAAAACGTTATTAACGTGCCTAAACTCAGTAATTCACCATTTCTATGCATGACAACACACTTTGTCCGTGTTTGGCTCTCTCGCCGCACAGTGAAGCGTTCCCGCATTGACGTCACTTCCGGCTTCTCCCAAAACTTTAAAATGAGTCGAAGGAATTTCCCGCGATGTTCGAAATTATTGATATTTATCGGAACGGTATCGCACCTTCTTTTTTAAACTGACGGTTCGAGATTACTAGTAGCCCAATATTTCATTGCACAACAGTTGTTGGGATGCTGTCACAGGCTCTTTAAGTACTTATGGGTTCCCTCGTCTCGAAGTCAATGTCTTTTTGTATGTGTTTACTGTAGCTTCCAGAAATAAAGACTGTGGTTAATGCAACCTACAACATATTTTACGCTTTGTTCCATGACAAAGTATGTCAGTAAACATCCCACCTGTGAATGTCTGAAGCTTTAAAGGTCCCATGTCATGGCCATTTCCACTGATCATAATTCCATTGTTGTGGTCTACTAGAATTTATATTGTGCAATTTTCCAAACTCACATTGGTTTCTCAAACAGCATCTCTGTAAACTACGTGTATTCACTGAATTTCACTCTCTGCCTTTAACGGCTCGTTGTAGCTCCAATAGCTCCAGCCCCCACCCTCCCTGTGAGCACAGTGTGCTCTGATTGGACGGGACGCTGTGAATCGCGCTGAGCTCCGTGGAGGTGTGGTTTCCTTGTTTAGCGATACACAGCCAAACTCATCCTGAGCACACACAAAGTCACAGCCGAAGTAAAAACAATAAGTGTGGCTTGATATTGAGTAAGAAAAAGGTTGATAAACGCTGTGAGAATGGGTCTGCAGAGAGAATGGGTCTGCAGTGAGAATTTCGCCACGATCCCAACTGTCTGTTATCAGTCTGCAGCCAGGGAGGATAAATCAGCAGAGCTGCCTGCACTGAGTGTGTGTGTGTGAGGAAGTCCGTGGATTGATCAATCTGGACCAATCAGCGGGGTCTTAACGTAACGGCTCCACAGATTGGTCCATTTGGTTCCGGGTAACGCATGACCGTATCGCGTCATAGCTCTGGGCGTGGCTACTGGCCATTCCTACGTCACAATACCCAGGAAGTATTCAATGGACAATGAGGTATCTTCAACGAGGCGTTTTGGGGAGGTATTTTCTGTGTTAGAGTTTTACTCGCTACAGGGTGTACTTTGAGGGTTTTGACTCTGCAGACCGTTTACATGCATAAAAACCTTCATAACACACAAGGGGACGGGTAATAACCGGAAAAGCATGACATGGGACCTTTAAGTGTCTTAAAAATAGCAGTTGCTACGAGTGACTAAATCAGACTACTAAACGTCATCATGTCAAACATAGCTGTCTTTAGCTTACCAGTTAGGTTTTGAAGCAGCGTTTCCACCAGGGGGGCGTCTTGCCGTCATTTGACGCCTTTATTCAGCTCAGGACGCCCTGAACGCGAGACGAGGGCGTCCAAAAATATTAATAATTCGAGAGAAGATCGAGGGTTTTTATCGCTTGAAATGACGAAAGGGAAAAAGTACACGGACATCTCTGTTGGAGGGGCAAAGGAGTCTGGTGGGATTGTTTTCTGAGTCGTTTCCCCGACATCGAAGGTGCCTGCTACAGGACAACACGGAACGTGCGCGATTTGGACGCGATGAGCGGTGGGGTTTTAGTGGAGCACGCGCGTGAGCTGCGAGCGCCGGAGCCTCGCAGCGGCGAAACTGAGGCTCCGTGGTAAACTGTGGTAACATGATGAGCCGAAAGAGCCGGCGCTTTAAGAGAGCCGAGCCAAATGATCCGGCTCACTAACGTAAAAAGACAGTATCTATAAGGGACGGCTCAAGTCAAAATTCATCCCCCCAGCTCTCGGGATGGACGCCCTCTCAGCCCTGGTCTGGCGGAAACACTGTTTTGAAGTCATGTGACCTTACTATGGGTGGTTTATGTTTAACTGCATTTCAACATCAATTGTTCAAAATCCAATGGAAAAAAATCCATATTTTTTTATCAAGATAGCCCTTGCAATGCTAACTTCCTGGTTGGCCCAAAAATATATCATCACTGCACCACTCTATTGTCTCAATTCAATAAGCTGCACAAAGATACAAATAAACTTAAATAAAAACATCTTAACTGTCCTAAATGTTCATGCCATGCTTGTCGGCTGGGTAAATATGTGTTGCAGAGTACAAAATGGTTCCATAGCGTAGACAACCAAGGTCTGCATGACATTCAAACAAAGATTATTTTACTCCAAGCTATACTTCTCCTTTCCTCTGCCAATCTTGGAAATTACAGACAGCGTTAAGAAGAGTCACATCCTCTGAAGGACAAAGCGTCACTCAAACTCTAATGAATCTACTTCCACAAAGAGCTGCCAGCTAATTCAGGGCCAAGCAATGTCTGTCCCCAGACACAAATGATCCAGAAGGAGTTAGAGGCATTATGATGTAGGCTTTTATAGCCCACCGTGACTCCTTACAGTCTAAAATGAAATTGTGCACTCATTGGCATTCAGGAAATGGCACCACTGCTGTCCAGATCATCAGCAAAGGAGATGAAAGACACAGGGATGTTTCTGGACTAGAGCATTGTCATCAGGGTAGAGAAAGCACAGAGAAAGTTACTCGGGACAGGGACAGGGACCCTAACAAATATCCCAAGCACAGAGTAACTGAGCAATATTCTAAAACACGTAGCAAATGTGCATATCTGCTTTTTCAAAACGCGTATTAGCTTATTTAGCATGATCGACCTTTTACCAGCATGAACAGGCCTAATGTTGGATTCACAAGAAATACACACAGGAAATACACACCAATTATCCCTTGCCCCTTATTGGGCGCCATTTGACACATGACTTTCGTGGCATCAAACTGTTGATCAAAACTGTTGTCAAAAAGATTAAACAATTTTTTTAATGATTTGTTTTTTTCTTTGTGTTAGGAGCCCCATTGTTGCATTGTTGCACTACTAGTCTAACAGTAGTCTAGTGTTTTGCATCAGATGTCAAAACACAAACACGCACACTATACATACACCATTTGTTTTCTATTCAAGCCAACCAGCAGTGACTTCTTGCTTCTTCGTCACTGCTTAACCTGTTAAACCCCATGCCCCAAAAACACAACAATATTCACAAAACTGTGTCTGAGGGCTTCTTAACATTTAACAACCTATTAATGTGTCATACCCACTTAACGGGAAGAAACTCAGCTATCAGACAATATTAACTATTTGTAGCTAAACGAAACACAAGGGTAACACCAAGCCTCTGAATTAGCACTAAGTGAACAAATGCTAACTCACTATAAGTAATGGGGGTTTTTTTTGGACGGAAACTATAATTTACATTTTCTTTTACTATGTTCAATCTGAATTGACTTTAAAATAAAAACATCTATATTAATTCTGACTTTTCTACATCCAACTCACAGGTGTATCATTGCTTTGAGAAAAAAGATTATTAATTTACCCCTTTTAGAAGTGAAGATATAGTCATTTGTTCTGGGAATGTCATTTTCGAGCCTGAAACCTGAAAAACAGGCTTGGGGCTTAACAGTTTTTTATGGGCAACCCGTCAACATACAGCACTGTCTTCTTTCTCAGCTTCAATCAAAACATGTTCAAACAGCAGCAGTTTTATATCATCCACCACTGCATAGTATCTTCCTCACTTAACTACTTATTTCATGGTGGAGTGGTGCAGGAATGAGTCCTTAACCAGTTATTGAGTAAGCAATTCAGCACTTTTGGGCTCTCTTGTCTCAAAGTCAACATTTTTTGTTTTTGGTTGGAGGCCTGAAATATAGTCGGTGGTTTATACAAGATAACGATATTTTTCTAACAAATGACTTAATGAGGCTAACAAGTATGCCTTTAGCATCTGTTGATGGCTTTGTCTATTGTACATTACATTTTCTTCAAATTATTTCATATCAGAATACTTTATTTAACCCGGGGGTAATTGGGTTACGTGACAGTTGCTCCATTTTTTTTTTTTTAATAAAATAAAATAAAAGATGAATTATCTATATATATATATATATATATATATATATATATATATATATATATATATATATATAAGAAGACAGTAAGCAGGTGTAATACAACATTTCTAGCAAGTTTTACAATCACTTGCTCAACATTTGGTCGAACATGGTTTGGCAAAGTTTACGGTCTGGAAGTCAAAAATACATTTTCTGTCATTGTAAAATGTCTGCATTTGTATGAGGCCACGCTATGTGTAAACTCTTCTTACCGTGTGTCCTGACATTCCAGGATAGAAGTGTGTAAGACTTTTTTTAAATGTCCTTCTTCTCCTGCAGGTGTTCTTCAGAGCGGGGACCCTGTCCAGGCTGGAGGAGCAGCGGGACATCCAGACCAGGAGGAACATCTCTCTGTTCCAGGCCGCCTGCAGAGGGTACCTGGCCAGGCAGGCCTTCAAGAAGAGGAAGGTGAGCTGCAGCGTCGCTCCATCATGTTCATCATTGGAACCTCGTTTTTACTGCAGTTTCCACTACTTTCTAGGCATGCTTGATAAATAACTGGTTTCACTCATATAAAGCTGTGTTATGTGGTGGTTATACAACGAATATAGGGAATATACAAAACTATGTATATGAGCTTTATAAAGTGGTGCAGGAATTATTCCTAAAACCCGTAAATTAGTAAGCATTTACCACTTTCTGTCCCACCGTTTACAAGACAATGGTTTTTGTACCTGTTTGTTGGTACAAGCTGAATACATTTTTTGCCTTTATTTCTAAGACATCAAATATGTCAATATTTTTATACCGATTCAGCCTAAAACAACACACTTTTATTAAAATGATTTTGACTGGTATTACAATTGAGATATCAGCGATAGGATTGATCACTTTGGACCCATTCACATTATCAGTGAAAAGTATATTAAAAATATCTTGATTTTATAATTTTTTGTTGGATGCGACTTATCTGCATCATGACATCAGGTTTGTTTCCTGGTGACTTCTTTGCTTTCCACTCAATCCCCTCACTACTGATGCATTCAGTGTCACACTACATCTGAGCTTCAGATGTCAGTTCCCTGGTGATGGGCCTGATGGGATGGACAGATGTCGCTCTCCTTTACACTAGGATTCTAGCACAGTCCCGGAAGAGGAGTTGACAGGCTATGGTACTTGTGTTGAAGGGCTAGGGCTTTATCCTGTGTGCATATTTCTTCTAAAGCTTCACTGAACACTTCATGGTGAAATAAAACACGTTCTAGTCAGCTCTGATGAGGGGTGTGTGTGTGTGGTGTGTGTGTGTGTGTGTGTGTGTGTGTGTGTGTGTGTGTGTGTGTGGTGTGTGTGTGTGTGTGTGTGTGTGTGTGTGTGTGTGTGTGTGTGTGTGTGTGTGTGTGTGTGTGTGTGTGTGTGTGTGTGTGTGTGTGTGTGTGTGTGTGTGTGTGTGTGTGTGTGTGTGTGTGTGTGTGTGTGTGAGTGTGTGTGTGTGTGTGTGTGTGTGTTGTGTGTGTGTGTGTGTGTGTGTGTGTGTGTGTGTGTGTGTGTGTGTGTGTGTGTGTGTGTATATATATACAGCTTTTGTATATTTAGTAAACGTGTGTTGTGCTTTTTCTCTTACCAGTTATTATGTCTTCCTGCTCTGGGCTCCATACTTTTCAAGGGCATTTGAGTTTCACCTCACTCACTACTGCCCCAATGACTCAGTTTAAGCCTCCTCGCGGGGTAAAAAGTAATCTCATGTAATTGATGGTGTTTGGGATTGGGTTTATTTCCTTCTGACCATTCTAAACAACTTGTTATCTTGTTTGGATGGAGCATTTGTCTCAGGAAAAAGAAGAACACTCACACTTTAGTTGCCTTTTCTTCCTGCTCCCCTTATTTTTTTCCTTTGGGTGCTAAGCTGTTGATAGAGGGGAAGTTGACAGACTGAGGCATTGTCACAAGATGTCTTTGTGTTTATCATTACATGTTACTTGTTAGACGCTTTTATCCAAAGCGACTTACATACTCAATACTGTGGACAATCCCCACAGGAGCAATTTGGGGTGAAGTGTCTCAGGGACACAACGACATGCTGACTGCAGTGGGGTTTGAACCTGTGCTCCCCTGATCCCAACGCACAACCCACTGTGCCACACGCCTGAATTATCACAGAGTGATAATGAGCCTACTTTTATGCGGCTGGTGCAAACACCCAAAATCAGAGGTGGAAGAAGTACTTAGATATTGTACTCTAGTAGAAGTACCAGAGTGTAGGAATACTCTGTGTAAAGTAGTAATTATGCAGAATGGTCCATTTCAGAATAATATGTTTTATAATGATTGATCATGAAAGTGTTCTCAAAGCTGGTAAAGGTGCAGCTAGTTTGAATGGCTTTGTATACTGCAGGGTAGCTGGTGGATTTACTCCAGGTGGAACTTGTAAGGGAATCTTCTGCAGCAATGGAGAGTCAGGACTCAGAGAGACACGAGGAGAGTTGGAGCTTTGATGTCAAACACTGGTGGTTTATTACAAGTATCGGCCGGAGAATTCACATCACAAGTCACAGCAGCCAGAGGTTCTGACTGCCCAGCCTCTCTCTTGATAGACCTTTTAACTAGTTAACAGAGAGTTAATCAACAGCTGGGAACACTGGAGATATCCCCAACATCTGGACAGACTGAATCACTTGCCTGACTCTTAGGCTCTGTGACCGAGTTGACCGGTCATAAAACTGAGAATGAGTGCAGCAGCACATTCTTTAAAGGAGATAACGAGTCAGGGTTGGTTATAAACGTCAACAGGCGAAAAGGTTAAATATCTTAGGGAACAATTCTGTCTTTACTCCTAACAGAACTAAAGTCTGATTTAACACTTGATTATATTTCACATCATTCATCCAGATCTGTAAAGTAACTAAAAGTACATGATGGTGCATGAAGCTAAATATGGACCTACTGTAGATTCAAAAAGTAGCTGGGCCCAAAGAGCATGCTCACTTGTGTTTTTCTTAAGCCCTGCAGCCGATCTCCTGCTCTCGGCTCAGTCAAATGAATGGAGAGGGAAAATAACTCTGATTTCGGGCTATAAAAGTGTTCATACTGGGTAGTTCATTTACCAAAACAAAATATACGCTGATTAACAGGCGTTCTCTTTTCCAATGTAAATCAAGGGTAACAAGTGCTGTTGGGCCAACGTCCCGGACTAGAAGTGGATTACCACAGTTTGGCCAATTCGCAAATTCGCCTCAACAGCCTGGCTCTTCCAGGGGCCTTGGTTATCCCAGACAGTATCAAAATATCATAACCCATACACTAGCCTCAAATATACAGCCTCTCCCTCCACTTGCATTGCCCCCTGCAACTTTTGAGAGTAATCCTCCAAAAAGCATCCTATATGTCACCAGCTGTGACCTTTTATTGTGAAGCAGCATCAGTAGGAAATGTTGGTTATCAGCTCTGATAACCGAGGCTTGTGTCACTGAGATCAGAAATCCATTTCATTTAAATAGCTTGTGTGTTTGAAAAAAATGAAATGAGAGGAAGTATATTATATGTAAATACAATAAATGACAATCTTCCAAAGTATAACTTAAAGTCTGGCAAAATGAGAGTAAAGCGTTCCGTGGCTTCTTCATTCATTTCATTTCATTTCAAACCTTTATTTAACCAGATTGGTCCCATTGAGATCATAGATCTCTTTTTCAAGGGAGACCTGCAGACCTTCATTCATCAGACACCCTTCAGAGTGTGTGGCACATTTCAACATTCACATTCAAGGCATTTTTTAAATGCTTTGCAAAAGACATTCAAAGCATGAAGACATGATGGAAAAGATAAACATTATACAAATAAAATGTGAATAGCTTTTAAAACAGTCATTGAAAAGCCAAGAATATAATTAAATAAGCAATTCAAGTACAATGATACAAGAAATACAGTGCAGTTATATGAATAGTTATTTGATACAATAAAAAGCAGCAGTAAAGAAAAGTCTTCAGATTTAAAGAGTTGCTGCTTTCTGGTAGTTTGTTCCAGAGTCCTTGGAAGAATCTTTTTCAGTTGACTCATAGCAGACCTGGTTGTTTCTGTCTGTCATCACTCCTTAATCTGTGGTGTTCAGAATAATCAAACAGCTTGTGGAATCAGATTTCTGGCAATGTAGTAAATCAGTATCATCTCACCAACAGTGTTGTGCAATCACAAATGTGTGCCTTTGAATTGTTACTAAAGCTCTAATTAGTTTTGTGCAAATTAGTAGTTTTGTCATTGATGAACGTCCATTTATACGGTATGGGGTGGCTGTGGCTCACCAATCGGAAGGTGGGTGGTTTAATAGCCAGTCCCTGCAGTCAACATGTCGATGTGTCCTTGGGCAAGATACTTAACCCAAAGACACCTTGGCCAACGGTGCTACGTGCTTTGAATAGTATAAAAAAAGACTAGAAATCACTATATGAATGCAGTCCGTTTACCAAATGTAGGCCCTCATTATATTGCCACAAAACTAAATCAATAAAATGCTCCTCCATCTAGTCTGTGTTATTCCTGCTCTGGGGAAAGTCTTCCGCTCCTTCCAAGTTCTCTCTCCCTGCAGGGCGAGGAGCGCTCAAAGTACTACGGGAAATAAGTGAGAGAGGAGGAGGAAGTGAGAAAAGGGGGGGAGGAAGGGAGGCTGGAGAAAGAGAGACTCGCCATGGGGGAATAGACAAATAGAAGAGATCCGCTGGCTGCTTTGAAGCCTGCCGTCTGCCTCTGCTCTCCGTCTCTCTGACATTCATGGGGAACAGTTGAGAGCTGAGGAGCGGGGGGATTCCACCGCCAGCAAACCAACACTGAGCCTAATTAAATAGTTGCCTAAAGACAGTCCCCCCCCTCCTCCCTACTAGGAACAGGTGGGCCCAGGCAGGCACTGTGTGTTGGTTGTCAGGTGTAAAGGAGAGGTAGAGGACACACGTCACAGTTTCTTCTTCTATCACTATTACCTTCTGCTACAGCATACCGAAATGTGATATTACACTAAATATTTATAGAATAATTGATATACTCATGTTAAAGGTGTGAAAGGTGGGGTAGGTAATTCACTTCAGACACACTTTTTGTTATATTCCATGGAATGCTCTTAACATCCCGATAGCAATGAATATATGAAATGCTTTGACAATAAATACATAAAAAAACGTCACCTGTGGAAGCCGTGGCGCTGTAAAAAGCACGACCAATCATTTTAGCCGGCCCGGCTAAAGTAACTGGATGGCCTACCTGCCTGTCAGCCTTCCATCTGTGCACAAACTTATCTCGTGCCCTCATTGGTCATGTGCGCGTTCCTGTGTGTTGGAGGAGGGGCTCTGTAAGAAAGTCTGAAGGAAGTGGCAGATTTGTTCCGGTTGTGTATTTTCAAATTCTAGCGCACTCGAGCTGGTTTCTCCATTCTTACCTACCTACCTTTAATTCAACCCCCAAGAAGATGATCCAGGTATATAAGCAAATGTTCATAGTGGCCAGTAGTTGGTACTACAACTTCTGTGTCAGACACTTGATGTTATTTGTCCCAAAAAGACTTTCCCGTGACTTACACTGGGAAAGAGATGTCTGTAAATCAGCATATCGTTTTTCCTTCAGTATGAACATTAAAAGTCCTTATTTAAATCATTATGTCTTAAAAGTTGTAAAAAAGTTGTAAATCTGCCGTGACAGTGTGGATTGGAGGCTTTGGGAAAGCTGAAGTGCAAAGCTTTATGTGCCCAGAACCCTGGATGATCCAGGTATGTTATTCTCCAGTCAGGCCATTGAGGCGTCATGTACCACTGAGCAACTTTCATAGTATTATTTGGTTCTACACGTGTAAGTAGCCTGAGCATGCAAAGAGATGAAATGCATTAGTATACATATTCAAAAACGGCATATTAGGATCATATTTGCAGTGACATTTGGAAAGCTTTATACAGGCTTAGTTCACGGGTCTGATGGTCTGCAGTTCAAACTGCCTAATATTTCAAAAGCTCTTGTTATAGTGGAAATAAACAATACAATGAGTTAGATGTGAAAATACGATGCCAGTTCTAAAGGCCCCTTATCCTCGCTGTCTCTCTCCGTCTCTTTCCCACGTTATTACTTAATGTTAAAAAAAACAATGTTAGTCAAAAAGACACCAATTGGCAGTGTCCCTAGTTGTCCAAACGAAAGCAGCGACAAGAGGAGTGTGGTGTTGGCATCAAATGAAACAATAATAAAATACCTTTTCAGAATTGTAATTTTCCGCAACCACAAGATGTCTTTAGGCATGCACACGTATTACACTGATTAGCCCAGTGGTTGGCCAAATGATGGTCAATATTGATAAAATGCTTCCAAGATAAAAGGTCGGATTACTGACAGTGCAGGTTTACAGTAGCACATCTAAACTCATTCTCCAGTTACCAGAGTTACCTGTATACTTCTGTTCTTGTAAACACTCTGAATGAATGATGACCGCTCTACACACACTACATGTAGCTGCTGTTTGTACCGAGACACAAGAGTTGCACGGTAGAATTACATTAGTAAGTAAATAACTCAATTTTCAATAAAATAAATGAAATCCAAGTTTCAGGTCAAGTTTCAAAATACAACTTTTTCTTTAAAATGGTGTAATTCTGGTGATGCGCCTCGGCTTGTGTGCAACTATATTGTTAACTTAGATTAAGTACTGTCCACTGAGAAGATTCTACCTTTAACGAGTCCTCCAACATTTAAAATCCAAAAAGAAATATTTTGTTTCTTGGTCTAACTCTTGAAATAAGCAAATCCATATCATTCTCTCTAAATATGTGAATGATGACCTGTCAGACTTCTTCTCCTTAGCTCGAACTGGAAAGCAGATTGAAAAGCACACCATGAAGCGTGTATAATATCCACTGCAACAACATGATTATTTATCTAGGATAAGTTCAATTGAATGCACATTAATAAGAGAAGTTTCCATTTTTGCTGACTGGAAGCTTGAGGGAGAATTATGTTTTGGTACAGATCAAGATGAGTGTAAAACATTAACAGGAAGTATACAAGTGAGATGAAGATGGAATTAAATGACCCAGGTCAACACATATCAAGCTGCTCATCTTTCCTTTCCTCCTGCCACACGGCTAGTTTGAAATCACTCACTGGTCAGTACTGGCTTACATGCTTACCCTCAACCTGATGATGAAAACTGGCCATCATGTTTGATTTGTTTCCTCTCTGCAGAGTAACACTTGTGTCAATAGTCGTGCCTTTGCTGTAGAAGGCAATATGACCTAATTGAGTGTTATGATTTAGTGCAGTTAGAGAATAAATCACTTACTGTGTCCTTAATGTGCTGGTGGTTCTGTTTATCTTTGTGAGATACATACATTATCCAAACTACATGCACATTAATGCTAAAGTCAAGAGAGTCCTGATTATTTGTATTTGTAGCCATGTGTGATCATAAGGTATCTATTCTATAGAAATGGTTGAAATGCCTTAGTTTATTCTGCAGCTGTGTTGTTCTAATTCAAAGAGGGGTCCTTATTTCCAGAAGAACATGTCCAAATGTTTTATTTTGGAGGAGCCCCTGGTTAGCTCAGTCTTTAAAATGGTACCTCCTCCCACATGTTTGCTTGAAGATCCATCAGTGAATAGTCTAACATGCAGTAAGCAGTATATCAAGACCTTTGTCACAATATGGCAACCCTTCATGTATCAGCAAAACTGACATCACAATGTGCCTTTTCACAATGAATTGTGTGCTTCCTCTGATTTATATGCTCTGTGTTTGACAGATCCAACATCTGGCCATCCGCTGCATCCAGAAGAACATAAAGAAGAACCGTGGTGTCAAAGGCTGGCCATGGTGGAAGCTCTTCACCACCGTCAGACCTCTGATAGAGGTGCAGCTCACTGAGGAGCAGATCCGTGGCAAGGACGTGAGTGCGCACGAACGCACACACACACACACACACACACACGCACAGTTGTATCTTTATCTATTGTTTTGAATGTTGTGCTTTTTGTATTCTCCTATTGAACTAGTACAAGTGAAAACAGGCAAAGTTCTGAAGGAACGTGAATCATTTTTTATTGAAGACTGATTTAGAGTCATAGACGTCAGCATTATTTCATTTTGTCTCTGTGGTCTTAAAATGTAACCAGATTTATATTAGAATACCCTTCAAAATTCCAAGTATTTCTTATTTATTTATACTTATGTATTTTTTTTTTTGATATTTCACCACCTTATAGTGATTCATATTTTAGTAAAATATCAGAGGTTGTGCCAAAGGGAAACAGCCATGAGCACAGTTTACAGCTTATATGCTGTGTCCTCACCAACTTGTGGGTTTCACATTAATATCTTTGTCTTTTCCTCTCAGGAAGAGATCCAGCAGCTGAAGCAGAAGCTGGAGAAGGTGGAGAAGGAGAGGAACGAGCTGAGGCTCAGCAGCGACCGCCTTGAGAGCAGGGTAAAACACAGAAACAGACGTACATATATTCAGTACAGAGCAGCACTTTGGGTTTTCAAATTCTGAGAAAAAATACATGGAATTATATAATTTTTTCTCAATTAAGCTTTACATATGAGTTATTGAGATAGATCTTGCTTCACCATATTTAAAAACAGGTTAATGCCAACGTTTTATATTGTTAGTGTTTAAATTCAGAATGTAGCAGGCAGCAGACACATAACACTAACCAATAATATGACTGCAAAATTGTAGCCAATTCCTCTAAACAAACAAGAAATGTGGGTATTAGAAATATAGATGATAAAAGGAGTTGACTGTTGGTTGTGAGCTGTTTGCTGTTAACGTTAGCTGGAAGCTGTTGGCTGCTAGCTGTTGGCCTTTGGCTCTTAGGTCTTTGATGTTAGCTATCGGCTGTTAGCTGTTGGCTGTTAGCTATCGGCTGTTGGCTGTTAGCTGTTGGCTGTTAGCTATCGGCTGTTAGCTGTTGGCCTTTAGCTTTTAGGTCTTTTATGTTAGCTATCGGCTGTTGGCTGTTAGCCTTAAGCAACTGGTAAACAGGGGTTCCATAGAGTTACATTATGATGCATTAAAGGTTTTTTATTAGGGCTGTCAAGTTAACGCGTTAATAACGCGCTAACGCAAAAAAAAATTAACGCCACTAATTATTTTAACGCGATTAACGCATGTGTATTTTTTGTCCTCGGCCGCCCCGTAGTTTCAGAGCGCATTGAGTTTAAAATACCATCTACAAGCTGATGCTGACAGCCCCACTCCTGCTGCCCGCTTGTGGCAGACCACACTTCCACGCTCACCGGCAGGCACCGACTGGCCATCTGGAGGACCGGGAGGGTGTGTGTATGTGTGGCCCGAGCGAGCGAGAGAGAGACCTTACGTGTATTGTTGTTGTTAGCATCTGGTGCTAGCTAGCTGCGCTAACGGATATGGAGCTGTTTAAATGAAAACAGAGGAGCGACATTTCGCCAACAACTGTGCCGAGCACTTGACTTTATGCAGGAAGCCAGACAGTGGGGCATTGTACGAAAAGTCAGCACACTCAGCACGGTTAGTGCGCGCAACATGATTGCAGCGTCCAGGCAGCTCCCGTTCGAGCATATGCCTTGAGTTGCACATAGCTCCAACGATCCATCACACACACACACACACACACACACACACACACACACACACACACACACACACACACACACACACACACACACACACACACCACACACACACAACACACACACACACACACACACACACACACCACACACACACACACACACACACAACACACACACACCAGAGAGGTTCCAGGTTGAATTGAGGCGAATATTTGTAATGTTCAGAGGTTGTTGTGTTTAATATTCATGAGTATATTTGTCATTGTTCAAATGATAATATAGATTTGCATAAAGCATATATGTCCACTCATATGTTGATAAGAGTATTAAAAACTTGAAACATATTCCTCTAAGGAACATTTAGAACAGATAACAAATGTGCGATTAATCGCGATTAACTATGGACAATCATGCGATTAAATATTTTAATCGACTGACAGCCCTATTTTTTATATAATATTGTAACATGTCATTTTTTGACTTGAATAACTGAAATAAATCTAGTTGAAGGAGATGTTTTTACAGCAATGTAAAATTGTTATTAGAGAGGGAATTATGAAAGGGGTAATTTGGTCGAATAGAAGACTTCAGCAAATGATCTCTTCAATCCTTGATGACCGTTACATGAAATGAGGTGATTGAGATGCACATCTGGTGTTAAGTTACTCTAACAAGGTTATGCTATGGTAATAAATGTAAGCAGATATCTGACATATTTTTTTGTACTCATGTCAATGTTTTCCCCAAGTTAATATTAAATAGAGTCTTGGTCTGAGAGTGTATGAATTTAGTTCTGATGGTTTTTTATCAACAAACTCTGATCATTTGCCTCAAACAAATACACATTTCTGACAAAATGAATTAAACCTTACATAAGTACTCTTTAAACGTGTGTGTGTGTGTGTGTGTGTGTGTGTGTGTGTGTGTGTGTGTGTGTGTGTGTGTGTGTGTGTGTGTGTGTGTGTGTGTGTGTGTGTGTGTGTGTGTGTGTGTGTGTGTGTGTGTGTGTACTTGTTTATGTGTGTGTGCGCTTTGTGTGTGCGTGTGTTGCATCAGATCACAGAGCTGTCATCAGAGCTTGCTGATGAGAGGAACACCGGGGAGTCCGCTTCCCAGATGCTGGAGAGTGAAACTTCTGAGAGACTCCGCCTGGAGAAGGACATGAACGACCTGCAGGTACACACACACACGCACGCACACACACACACACACACACACACACACTCTCACTCACTTAGACTGAAGAGAACGCAGGGCTGTGGTAAAGTCACGTAGTCAAGTCTGCAGAATAAGAGAGTCGTGTTGTGTTCACAGGCTGCGGCTGGTCCATCTCCTAACTTTAGGTTTGATTAACACTGTCACACATCAGCGGACTAATGCCTCTCTGTGACCGTTTCCCTCACTCAATGCTTTTTTGAAGCACATTTCTATTAAGGCAAATGAAAATGGAGCTAGCTGATTGCGATGGAAAACAGAGATTGATAGCAGTTTATAGCTCTATTAGCCATTCAGCAGTGGGCTAATAAAGATTTTTACAACGCAGCAACATTATCCGACTTCGCAATGAAGTTTGGTTTTAAGGCGCATTGTAAAATGCAGTTTAATATCTGCTCATTTATATATAGATTTAACATTAGCCGAGCAGCTTGAATTACTAACGAACGTAACTGTCTGCCTTTGCTCCTTTGGGGTTTTATAGTCTGTTGTAATGTTTCAAAGGGAGTATTAATGTTACTATATGTTAAAGCTAAACTTGGATAACTGAAAGGCTGTGTCATATTCAAACATTGCTGTTTTGTCAAGACATTCAGGCAGAAATAAAAAGACCCAAGAGCTTATTGAATGACTAAAAAGGTCTTAGAATTTGAAATGGACAGATTTCACTCCCAGAAGTGGTCTTTAAAGACATATACAAATAAGAATCTAAAGTGATTTTCAAATGAATGTATTTGGTTGTAATTAATAGAACACTAGGGGAAGTCTGCAAACAAATAAATGGCTGGAAAGAAGTTCTGATTGTAAGAGCACATACACATGTAACCAGTGTCTTTCCTTTTTATCTACAATATAAACACATCCAGGTCATCAGAATAAACCTTAACTTCCACAAAGATGAATGATCTACAGTGGTAGCTTGTACTCTACTGCACATCTCTCCCAACAAGCTCCACACATTCAAATGTCAGTAAAGCATTTATTTTTGCCAAACAGAAGATTCCTAACCTGAAAGGCTTGATTCAGGGCAAAACGTCTCTTAGGAGTGTTCCATTTCCTGGCTAACGGTCTGCCCCAGCTGTCAGCCGCATTTACCTAGAAACAGTTTTCACATTGTGGGACATGATCATGGATCGGGGGGGTTCTTTGAAAAATAATTACGTGTTTTCAGAAATAGATTAGCAAAATAGCACACTGAGGGTCACACATAGCATCAACTTTCCCAGTAAATCTATGGAGACGGATATGTGCACGTTGTCATAGAAACTGTTCCTTCTCTCCTCCACCAGGCCAAGTTTGACAGCACGAACAAACAGATGGAGTCCATGGAGATGGAGGTGATGGAGGCTCGACTCATCAGGGCATCTGAACTCAACGGAGAGATGGACGATGACGACACAGGTCAGACACCATCATGTGCACTAAATACCAGATAGGCTCTAGGGCAGCTCACTTCTCATATTTCTATCATGTAGCTTTAAAAGTCATAGGTTAGGTTGCAAATCAAATAACCAGGAGTGTGTGTTTCAACGTATTTTGTTGTGTTTTGTTTTATCCCGTGTTGTTTTGCCGGGGCCTTGTGCGTCCGTTGGTGTCATTGAAATGAATGAGGAGGATGCGTTTTTTAACAGTGCTGATGCCAGCACCACAAACTGCAGCCTCAAAAACAACCATTGAGTTTAATCAAAGCCTGACAAGGTTTCCTTAGAAAATGAAATGGAGAGAACTGTTGTATTGTATTATACTAAGGGTGCGATCATAAATAATCACTCACAATCTAGCTAAAGCTGGATTGTTAGTAAACTTCTAGTTTGGTTATTTAAATTCAAGATTCAAAGGTTAGAGCAGGTCACTCTCGGGGGTTTAGCTGGCCACCTTGCTGCAGTGATATAGAGGTGTATTTTAGTGATTTTCAATGAAATTGTTAGCTTACTACTTACATCTTCTCTAACTCTTCATGTTAGCTATATCTTATGTTTTCTCATTTATTTCTATAGACATTTTGTTACAGGCTATCACGACATGTCATAATGATCTGTTATATAGATCACTCTTTTTCTTCAAACAATAAGGCTCTCATTTCAGTGTAAAGCATCAGATAGGATATACAAACACCCTAAAATAGAGATGCTGTGTCGAATTCACTCCCTAAAGTGTTGACAATTAGTCTTTCAACAACAAGCTGTCAACAGAACCTTGTCAAACAAGCTCTGAGTTGAATGTCTCTCTTGCGCTCTCTGCACACATCCATACACACAGGCACGCAGAGACAAAACAAAAGGACTAATTCCCTCCCAGACGTATTTATCACAAACTGTTGGTGGGTGTCCAATCGATGCTTTGACAAAAGCCAAGAAAAGTCTTATGTGAAGAAGGACATTAGAAATGGATGAGTTAAAAGTGAAAAATGAAGCAAGGACTCAGTCTTTGCGTGACATGCAGATGTGATGAGTGTAGAATTGATTTGTCTTGATGTTGCAAAGGTTGGAACAGTTTTCACAATACGTGTTCAAGCCATAGCAGAGTTTTGACAACCATATCCGTCAATATTGTTGTTTTTACTACCAGGTAGTACCATCAACCTTTGCTAATGGAAACTGTGGAGGAAGTGCTTAAGAGAAACTGATAAATGATCCATGGAAAAGTTTGTCTTTTGTTATATTTGATAAGGTAATAAAGAAAGTAAATATACAATTGAAATCGATCTCGATCTCAAATGCAGGAACAGAGCAACTTGATCCTCAAAGGATAAAATGGCTTTGCACACCGAACACAGCTTACAGTCACATTATATAGCAGAGAGAGAATATCCAACTGGTCCCACCCATTAGTTCTCTTAGGCATTACCTAAACATCCCCCCCATTAAACCATAACACCCCCCAGTCCTTAACCTCTTGCAAATCCACCTCTTGCCCTTCCTGAAATGTAAATCCTAAACGTATGTCTCTGTTAAACACATGTAGGACTACAAATTATATTTAAACGATTAAAAGGCAATCAGAGTATAACACATCATCTATTTATATTATTTAAATGATTATATGAACATTTGACACGACAGAAACTAAACGAGTGTTTTCCCGTCTAACACCCTGTAAATACAAACTTTATTTACATTTCCTAGGTTTAGTAAAAAGTGATCATGATGCCTTTGAATCATATCTTTCCTGACACAAAGTTGGGAGGTATTTATTTATTTACTGAAATATTGAATAATACATGTTATGTGGGAAACATTCAGCAAGTGTAAGCATATTGAGATGTGGAGGTAAGAGGTGAGGCTGACGGTGAACATGCTGCTGACAGGAGGAGAGTGGAGGCTGAAGTACGAGCGAGCCATCAGGGAGATTGAATTCACCAAGAAGAGGCTGCAGCAGGAGTTCGAGGACAAGCTGGAGGTGGAGCAGCAGAACAAACGGCAGCTGGAGAGGAGGGTGGGTTACGCTGACACACACCCTCATACATAAACCCCTTTTATCTCAGGTGGTAACTACACACAAGCAGTGCATTAATGAGGTTTCAATTACGAGGTAGTTTTAATGTGGATGTAGAGCATACATCGGGCGGCTGTCACTTAGGGGGTCTACCAATCAGAGGGTCACTGATTCAATCTTCAACCCGGCATGTCAAAGTGTCCTTTAGCAAGATACATAGCCTCAAATTGCTCTGTAGGCATCTCTACGCTTACCTTGGATAAAAGTGTAGCTAACATAGCATTACAAAGGTAATCATTTGTTATTTTTAATTCCCTGCAACAGAATATTTTCAACATGTTGACAATGTTGTCCAGTTATAAATCAGTGTAATTTGTTTGTGCAGATCAGCGACCTGCAGGCCGACAGCGAGGAGTCCCAGAGGAACATCCAGCAGCTGAAGAAGAAAACCCAACGTATGACGTCTGAACTGCAGGACACCAAACTCCACCTGGAGGGCCAACAGAGCCGCAACCACGACCTGGAGAAGAAGCAGAGGAAGTCAGTACACACGCAAACAGACGCATGCACACACACACACACACACGCACACACAAACAGACGCATGCACACACACACAGTTTCATGTTAGAACAGGTGTCTAAAAATACTTGTGACTTCACACAGTTGTAAAACTTCTTATGCCAGGTTGCCACAGATGGTGTAATGTCCAGTTGCGTTACTGTAGTAACTCTATTAACTCTAAAGAAAAAAATAGTGACTGTTTATAGAGTGGTGCAGGAATGAGTCCTAAACCCAGAAATGGGTTTCCTTGTCTTGAAGTCAATGGTGTTTTGAATGAGGTTTTGGTTTGACACCCGAAATATGGTCTGTGGATTTGTTGTTCTACGTCATACAATGCGTCAGTAAAGACCCCCTCATGAACAGGGTTGAAGGGTTTCTTAAAAAAAAGATTCTGTTACAACAGTAACATGTACAACCTTTTATCAGTAATCTAATCCAAGTATCACAACATAAAAGTCATGTAACGTGATTACTTTTGTGTTACTTTTGGACTTCCTCAATAAGAAATGCTATGCATATAAAATACAAGAGATATTTATTTTTATTTTATTCAACTTAATTGTCATTACACAGAGCACAACGAAATGCAGTTTGCAACCAACCAGAAAGTGCAAAGAATAATAAAATAATTTACATAACAAATACAAGGTGTCGGGTTTAGAAATGTATATTGAAATACAATTGTATACATAGTAAATAAAAACACATTCTAAATGAATCACAACAATTGAAATGTCCCTGATATCAATAGGCGCGTTCACACCAGAGTACTTTTCCCACAATAGTTCATCAGAACTCAGATATATTTGCGTTCACACCAAAAAGCCCCCTGAACTAAATTAGTTCATCAGAACCTTTTGTACCCCGTTTTCAGTCCCCGCTAGAGAGCAGGGACTTTCGTGGGAGAAAAAGGTTCCTATGTCTGATTGGCTGGGCGGATTGCAAACCACGCCCCGTAAAACTCCAAAAAAGTTTTGTGAAGCCGCCATTTTATTATCCTTGCATTAGCATTATTAGCATTAGCCCAGCGCAGAAACGCAGAGAGACTAACTTATGGCAACACAAAAGAAAACATGGGAGCGGTGGAGATGAGGAGGTGTCGGCGTTCTGGCGATTTACTCGGAAGGCTTCAGTAGAAGCTGCTGGGAGTCCCAGTAGCTTCTACTGAAGCCAGTCCCCAACTCCGGGGACTTCCGGCCGGGGACTTCGGGTGGCAGTATACGCCGTGAAGTTGTTTGCGGAACTAAAGAGTTCTGATGAACAATTGTGGGAAAAGAACTTGGTGTGAACGCCCCTAATAAGAAATGTTTTACTTAATGGTGCTATGTAAGAAAACAAAAGAAAGTAACCAAGGTATTTTTTATCCAAACATATCTTTTAAATGTAAGTCTAACCCTACAAAATAGTATAGATTACAAATGCTGTTTCCCTCAAAAAAAGGCGGTTGCTACCAAGTGGGTAAATGAGAATACTAAACGTCATCCTGCCGAACACCAGTCTGCCTTAGCCGTGTTGATGTGAAGTCATGCGACCATGATGTAGTTTGTTTATAACGTTACAACTGTTGTGGTGATCACTGCTGCACCACTCTATAGCATCATGTTGTGCACAGAGAACAGACTCCTGTATACTGTTGCTAATCCATGAGAGTGTGTATGGAACCAGCTCAGCACATTTTAGGTGAATGTTACCCCTCAGATGTAATCAGAGTAGCAGTGCTTCATGTGAGTTTGTGGACAGTGTGTGACCATGCTTGTGTGTGTGTGCAGGTTCGACAGCGAGCTGAGCGGGGTCCAGGAGGAGGTGCAGAGGGAGAAGAGCCTGAAGGAGAAGCTGGCCCGGGAGAAGGACATGCTGGCAGGAGACGCCTTCAGCCTCCGCCAGCAGCTGGAGGTCTGTGCCTGGGGGGCCACTTTGTGACCTGGGATGATGTGGAAAGAACTGGATTTTTGTTTCTTAGTATGTTGACACTGTGAACTCTGACCCCCAGGACAAGGACCTGGAGGTGTGTGCCGTCAGCCTGAAGCTGGAGACGCTGGGGGCCGAGCTGCTGGACCTCAACTCACAGGAGTCCAAGGACGAGGCTTCACTGGCCAAGGTCTGCTTTCTTTCTTCCTTTCTTTTTCTCATGTTTTTCACAATTTTTTTTTGTTCTCTTTTTCAGTATTTAATATCTTTCTTCCCCCTTATTTCTTTGTTTTACCTTTCTCTCATTCTTTCAATTTGTTTTCATTTATTTCTTTGTTCTTCTTTTCTCTCTTTCTTTCTTTCTATCTATCTTTTTAATGTTTTTTATTTGTTTTCTTTATTCTTCCTTTCTCTTGTTCTTAATATCTTAATATCTTACTTTCTTTCCTTTTCAGAGAGAGAAAGAAAAAAAGTTTTAAAAAAAATGTCTTTCACTCTTTTTCTTTGTTCTTCATTTTCTCTTTATATATTTCTTTATTTCTTTCTATTTATATTTCTTATTCCTTCTCTTTTTCTTTCTTTCTTTCTTTCTTTTCTCACTGATTCCTATTGTGTGTTATTGTGTATACTCTTGTATACTTGTACTGAGCAGACAATCTGCAGAAAGTCCTTCAGTGCTCCAGCAGCTCTGTTAGCAAACAGCTAATGACTCCAATGTATATGACTGTGTTCCGATGCAGGTGAAGAAGCAGCTGCGCGACATGGAGGCTAAGCTGAAGGACCAGGAGGAGGAGCTGGACGAGCAGGCCGGCACCATCCAGATGTTGGAGCAGGTACAGATGCAGCACATGGAATATTCAGCCTCCTTCATTATTCTTTGTCCAGAAAATAAACCACACATATTTACTCATCAAGCAGACCACATGACTATTCATTCATTTTAGACCTGCTTTGGTCTCTACTAACCTGAGAGGCTTAAAGCTCAGAAGACTCCATCCAGCACTATTCATTTAGACCAGGGGTGGGGAACCTCCAGCCCCCGGGCCGTATACGCAAACAAGAAAACAATTAAAGAAATCTAGCCCGCAAAATAATTAAACAAGCGAGTGCCTGTTTTTCCTGGCCAAGGTCAGGGTCCTTGAACACAACACGAGCCTAACGTGTCATCACGTGGTATATGTCTTATCTGACAGGGGTGCAGTTCTGACGGAGAGCACCAGAACGTCGCTCCAACACTTCACAAATTGCAGCACCCATAAGGAGCCTTACACATGCCACAGTTTTTGCGTATCTGTGTCTTTAGTTGAAAGCCCAGTGGCGATCTGCTCATCTGTCATACTGATCATACAGTCAATAACTTTGTTGTTATTAGCATCTGGTTAGCTAGCTACGCTAACGAATATAAGAAGCTTTTTCTACAACCAGTGAGGTAAAGGCACATCTTTATATGATCATTATAGTTATTATAAAAAAATAAGAGAATAAGGTAAACAGGTATAAAATACTATATGACAGTAAATAAATGTTTTTATTAATAAACAAGAATACAGTTTGAAAGGAGAGTGATTTGTAAAATATCCATAAAGAAAAATAAAATCTGCTTACAGTTCTGTTTCATCTGGGTGTTGAGAGATGTTTCCATAGATCTCCTAATGTTGCTCTCAAAGTGCACCAGATTGATGCTTTTAACTTCAACATTTAAAAACAAATCTTCACGGGGGAGCATGCCCCCGGAACCCCCTAGAGGAGGTTAGGTCCCCCCCACTTAAATCATGTTCACATGGATAGGAAACTAAATACATTTGCACACATCTTGTGTCCATATCTTTCTGTTGTGGTGGTCATGCCACAACCGTGCACGTGCATACACGAGTCATGGTGAGATATCTGGATTAAGAGGTTGCTTTTTCTTTGCACAGCATGAAAGAAAGGCCAAATGAATGGGCTGTGATTTTAGTATTTTTAAGCAGAGGTCAATCATTTGTACGGCCATCGGAGGATGTTGAAAAAATTGAAATGGCCCTTGAGAGGAAAAAGGTTCCCCACCCCTGATTTAGACCTATGTTATATACAGTGGGGCAAAAAAGTATTTAGTCAGCCACCAATTGTGTAAGTTCTCCCACTTAAAAAGATGAGAGGCCTGTAATTGAGAGACAAAATGAGAAAAAAAAAATCCAGAAAATCACATTGTCTGATTTTTAAAGAATTAATTTGCAAATTATGGTGGAAAATAAGTATTTGGTCAATAACAAAAGTTAATCTCAATACTTTGTTATATACCCTTTGTTGGCAATGACAGAGGTCAAACGTTTTCTGTAAGTCTTCACAAGGTTTTCACACACTGTTGCTGGTATTTTTGGCCCATTCCTCCATGCAGATCTCCTCTACAGCAGTGATGTTTTGGGGCTGTCGCTGGGCAACACAGACTTTCAACTCCCTCCAAAGATTTTCTATGGGGTTGAGATCTGGAGACTGGCTAGGCCACTCCAGGACCTTGAAATGCTTCTTACGAAGCCACTCCTTCGTTGCCCGGGCGGTGTGTTTGGGATCATTGTCATGCTGAAAGACCCAGCCACGTTTCATCTTCAATGCCCTTGCTGATGGAAGGAGGTTGTCACTCAAAATCTCACGATACATGGCCCCATTCATTCTTTCCTTTACACGGATCAGTCGTCCTGGTCCCTTTGCAAAAAAACAGCCCCAAAGCATGATGTTTCCACCCCCATGTTTCACAGTAGGTATGGTGTTCTTTGGATGCAACTCAGCATTCTTTCTCCTCCAAACACGTCTAGTTGAGTTTTTACCAAAAAGTTCTATTTTGGTTTCATCTGACCATATGACATTCTCCCAATCCTCTTCTGGATCATCAAATGCTCTCTAGCAAACTTCAGACGGGCCTGGACATGTACTGGCTTAAGCAGGGGGACACGTCTGGCACTGTAGGATTTGAGTCCCTGGCGGCGTAGTATGTTACTGATGGTAGCCTTTGTTACTTTGGTCCCAGCTCTCTGCAGGTCATTGACTCGGTCCCCCCGTGTGGTTCTGGGATTTTTGCTCACCGTTCTTGTGATCATTTTGACCCCACGGGGTGAGATCTTGCGTGGAGCCCCAGATCGAGGGAGATTATCAGTGGTCTTGTATGTCTTACATTTCTAATAATTGCTCCCACAGTTGATGTATTCACACCAAGCTGCTTACCTATTGCAGATTCAGTCTTCCCAGCCTGGTGCAGGTCTACAATTTTGTTTCTGGTGTCCTTTGACAGCTCTTTGGTCTTGGCCATAGTGGAGTTTGGAGTGTGACTGTTTGAGGTTGTGGACAGGTGTCTTTTATACTGATAACGAGTTCAAACAGGTGCCATTAATACAGTTAACGAGTGGAGGACAGAGGAGGCTCTTAAAGAAGAAGTTACAGGTCTGTGAGAGCCAGAAATCTTGTTTGTTTGTAGGTGACCAAATACTTATTTTACCGAGGAATTTACCAATTAATTCATTAAAAATCCTACAATGTGATTTCCTGGATTCTTTCCCCCCATTATGTCTCTCATAGTTGAAGTGTACCTAGGATGAAAATTACAGGCCTCTCTCATCTTTTTAAGTGGGAGAACTTGCACAATTGGTGGCTGACTAAATACTTTTTTGCCCCACTGTATCTTGCCATTTTTGCCTAATTCTAATCTGCACACCTGTTAATAGAAATGAAACTACGGTTTGAAGTCAGCACATCTACAGTATCTGTGTTTGTTTTCCAGGCCAAGCTTCGTCTGGAGATGGAGACGGAGCGCCTCCGTCAGACTCATTCCAAGGAGGTGGAGAGCAAAGACGATGAGGTGGAGGAGATCAGGCAGTCCTGCAGCAAGAAGGTGACACACACATTTTAATACACACATTTTAAAACTGTTATTTAAGATTGCAGTCATGTCAGCTTTTTGTTCTTCAATTGTGATTCAATGAGAGGGAGACACAGGTATAAAGTCTATGCTACTAGGCACAGAATGAAATGGTTGTCTTTAATAGCTAAGTTAGCTGTAGTTTATAATGATTTTGGCCCTGCTGGTTACTGTTTATCCTCAAATAGTCACTTTTTACTGTTTATACTAACACTTGCATGCAGAGTGGTGACTTTTAGTAATCTCAGTTAGTAACTTGTTAGCATCCTCTGTTTATAAGACAGGTAAAAGCTCAAGACAATCACCAGTGCGGTTATTTCAGGCATTTTATCAAAAATCCATTGACATTACGACGAGCAAACCAAAAGCGCTAAAATGCTAACTGATTTCCGATGTTGAGGACTCATTCCTGCACTACACTAATACAAAACATTCATTTAAACTCAATATAACCTGCACTGACACTTCACATTGAAACTTTAAAAATGATAAGATGTACAGGAAGTGTAGGGTTAAAGCATTAGTGTTATATAGGAAACAGTGGTTTGTATGTATTAGTATAGTGGAAATATATGTAATGCTAAATGTACATTAAGCCATTAGTGTAAGGTTAATTAGCAGCTGGCCTTTGTGGTAGTAACTGTACTATACTTATCAAACAGTAAGAATACAAACTGTATTTATAATTGTGTTTGGTAAATGAAGATTGAACATGGAAGTTATTTGCTGTTTCTTCAGTCACAAGTACATGTCAGCAATATGGCTCCATTTGGTCCATATGTGTGGGAGGGTCTGTGAGTGTGGGGGGGGGGTTAACTTTGGATTCTGGGTGCAGTTTTAGCCTTCTTGCTATTACTTCTGTTAATGCTGTATTTGCTCTGCCTGGCCTCCACCACAGAGCCCTCTAGCCCCCCCCACAATTAGCCTTCTCTATATTTACTAAAGCTCTGCACTGTCTTCCACTGACATTAACATAGAGATGCAGTTTTTGAGGACGCTGAATAAATACACAAAGGAAATGGCCTTAAAGTGTAAATTGGACATTTTATGCCAGGCTTCGTTAGCCCCAACATGAAACCTCGCTTATTTGTATGCATCAAAAGATTATGAACATACAAGCTACTGCTGACTTAAGTTTTCTGTAGAGCCACCAGCTGCTCAATGTCTTTAACCAACTTGTAAAATATCTTATGGACTTGCACATTTGTTACAGATAGTATTACCCTTCATTTTGGCGGGATCCTGAATATCTGTTCTTCTTTACGGTTCATCTATCGCCATCCCCATAAAGCTGCTAACTTTGGCATTTTTGTTTACATTTGAACATGATCATGTAAATTAATTATAATCTGGACCAAACGATCATTTCAATCAAGTCTGTAGAATACTGTTTGCAGGCCAGGACTTCTCTGCTCTTCCACCATACTTCTCTCAGAATTGTATTTTCACATATTTTGCCTTCACAAAATTGAGCTTACTGCAATTTGGACATTGCGCTAGTCCATATTGCAATTCCGATATAATATTTATATTACATTTGCAGCCCTAAATAGCAGCATTATCTAAATAAATCAACATATAAAAGTGTTTAAGTGGCAGCTTTTTATTGCCAGTAATGGGCCAATAGGTGTTTTTATTTGTTTACACTTAATAATAGTACTATCAAATATTATTTAGAAGTAACAGAAGAGTATTAGGGCCACATGTCAAAAAGATATTCAAATTTAAACCAATTTGTATGTAACCTTTAAAGTCAAAATTCGGGCTGTAATCTAAGAACTCAAAATGTTTGTTCTCACATTTAGCTGTAAAGCTGTTCTGTAAGACTATATATATATACACAGATATGTTATGGTCATATGTTATTAGTGATACGTGCACGACTTCCATGTGCTCACACAGAACTGTGCGTGTACTCACTGCTGAGTGTTTTTGTGTTTCAAGCTGAAGCAAATGGAGGTCCAGCTTGAAGAAGAGTACGATGAGAAGCAGAAGGTTATGAAGGAGAAGAGAGAGCTGGAGTCCAAGATGCTGTCAGCACAGGACAAGGTACGTCCTCTGCAGGTCCCTCAAGAGTCTTTCTCAAGCTGCAACCTTCTTTGCATCAGTCAACTCAGAATTCATTTGAACAATTATGTCAGGAGTCTTTATCATTTGTCAACAATTCGATTAATTTTTTCTTAATATGTATAGAGAGGAGATTGTATGCCTTATTTCCAAATGAATTATCCGACTCGGACTTTAGGTGATAGTAGGCTGATTTAGTAACTGTTTTAATGTGACTGTTGAAGCTCAGGTCAGAGTCCATGACTACACCTAGATTTCTGGCTTTATCTGTTGTTTTGAACATTGCAGACTGAAGCTCAGCGCTAACTTTTATACGTTCTGCCTTGGCTCCAAAAACCATTGCTTCAGTTTATCTTTGTTTAATTGGAGAAAGTTCTGACACATCCAGTCATTGATTTGTTCAATGCACTCACTCAGTGTTTGAATTGGAGCATAGTCTCCTGGTGAAATGGTTATGTAAATGTGTGTGTCATCTGCATAGCTATAGTAACTTATTTTGTTGTTCTTCATTATCTGAGCCAGTGGTAGCATGTAGATGTTAAAGAGAAGAGGCCCCAAGATGGAGCCTTGAGGTATGACACGTGGGTGTCATATTTGTCAACTCAGATGTGTATTTACTAGGGCTGTCAAACGATTACAATTCTTAATCAGATTAATCACAGCTTAAAAATTAATTAATCATGATTAATCACCATTCGAACTATGTCCAAAATATGCCATTTATTTATGTATATTGTTGTGGGAATGGAAAGATAAATGAAAGAAGGCGGATATATCCATTTAACATACAGTATATATGTTTATTATAACATTGTTCTGTGTGTCAAAATGAAAGATAGCCCACACACCTATCAATCATCAAACCGTGGGGTCTTAATTCATTACGTGTTGATTTCTATCAACGGGCGAGTACTTCAGGAAAGTCGACAGAGGGTGGGGGGCTAGTGGAATACTTCGTGACCACAGAGTGTGAACGTTGTGATCAGCTGTTTTAGCGCAGTTCTCCAGTGAAGGGGGGGGGTCTCCCTCCGCAGCCGGTTGGCGTAGTTTTGGCACAATTCCGTTGTACAGACCGACGTTAACAGCAGCCCTGTCTGTGCACACGGAGACCGACTCTGTCGTCCGGTGATCTAACCGACTTCTGGAAAAGCTTCACAAGTACGTCGGTACGCAAATGCGCTTTGTGACACAAGTGACGGTACGCATTTCAGATTACGCACATAACCTGCGTACCAGTTATGTGCACCCCTGTACTACAGCAAAAGTATTCTCCGTCGGGACTTCCTGCAACAACACCATGCCGTTATCTTGATTCTGATTGGCCAGAAGACATTATCAAAGATGTTCTATTGAGAAGACGATCACTACGTGACAAAAGTTTTCAAAACCGTGGCTACTGAAATCAATCTTACTAACTGCTGTCTGTGCAATTTACTCCGCGAGTTGGCAGACTTTATTTTGCTTACTTTAACATCATTTTTCATGGTGGGGCTAAGCCATTTATTGGTATGGGTGTAGCCTACCCCAGCCATACCCTGGCGCTGCCACTGGTGGCACGTATGGGGCGGGCCATTCTGCAAATGCGTTAAATGCGTTAAATATTTTAACGCAATTAATTCAAAAAATTAATTACCGCTGTTAACGCGATAATTTTGACAGCACTAGTATTTACCTATAGAAACAAAGTTGTTTCTGTCCTTTAAGTAGGATTCAAACCAATTTAGAACTGTTTCCGAAAGTCCCACCCAGTTTTCTAGTCGGTCTAGTAATATGCTGTGGTCAACAGTGTCAAACGCAGCACTGAGATCTAATAATACTAACACTGAAGTTCTGCCACTGTCTGGATGTCATTGAAGACCTTTACAAGAGCAGTCTCAGTGCTGTGGTTTGGACGAAAGCCTGACTGGAACACATCGAAACAGTTATTTAAATGCCAGAAATTACTCAACTGTTGAAAAACTACTTTTTCATTGATTTTACCTAGAAATGGCAGGTTTGATATGGGCCTGTAATTGTTCATTACTGAAGCGTCTAGATTATTCTTTTTTAAGAGCGGTTTAATGACTGCAGTTTTTAGGGCCTGTGGAAAAATACCTGAGTGAAGAGATTTGTTTACTCAAGTAGATCTTAGGCCATGCAAGGAAACACATTTTCCAAAATAATGTTTTGTAATCTATATGGTGCTCCTTATTGGTCCCCTACTGAATGGATTCAATTGTAACTCAAAGTATGCGGTGGAAAATGAAAAGATCAAATGTATTGAGTGGATGCTGATGGACTGTGCCTGTGTTCCAGGTGAGAGGAGGGGACATCGAGACTGAGAAGCGTTTGAGGAAGGACCTGAAGAGAACCAAGGCTCTGCTGGCTGACGCTCAGATCATGTTGGACCACATAAAGAACAACGCGCCCAGCAAGAGGGAGATCGCCCAGCTCAAAAACCAGGTACCAAAATCATTTTTAAAAATCATGCTAAAAAGGGACATATTCTGCTCATTTTCAGGTTCATATTGGAATTATGCCTCTCCTGTGACATGAGAAACTCCCTCTGGAGGGAACTTTGCAGACCATTTACATGCACTACAACCTATACAACCAACAACACTACAAACAAGCTTTGTCCATGAGACATTCTGAGCACTGTGAAAATGAATAACTAATATTGATTGTAACTCAGTACTACAGTATACCGTGTCTTGTTTTTAATTGGGTGCTAATCAAAACTTAGTTTGGAACTTCAGTTTCTTATAAATTGGGAGCTTTAGGGGATGTAAACAGGAAATATGATTTTGCTATGGAGTCAGACGGTAATATGTGATGTGCTTTTTAGTGGAAAACTTAGAAACATGTCTCATTCGTTTTTCTCCAAGTGGATTTATTGATATGTATTTGCCACAGTGCCACGCTTCGGGAAGTGTAAGTTATACAAATATGTGTATCGTGTCTGTTTGGATTTCACCGAGTTATGACTCCCAGAATGAGTACACATGTAGATTCCCTCGTCTTGCAGTTTTAGAGAGTTATTGTATGTTTAGAGGTTTGCTTGATGGAATGGTAAAGTGATCTTTAAACCTAAAAGTAAAGTCTTAACCGAAACTATTCCCTCTATTTCTGTGCCCTTTTCAGCTGGAGGAGTCTGAGTTCACGTGTGCGTCAGCAGTTAAGGCTCGTAAGTCTATGGAGGTGGAGATTGAAGATCTGCACGTTCAGATGGAGGACATTTCCAAAACCAAACAGGCGGTGAGTACAGCTTAGTGTATCCTCCTCTCAGCCTTGATAAAGTAACACTTTTTCCTGAAGTTACAAAACCGAAACAGGCATTTCAAAACCTTATTTAAGAGATGACTGGAAGTTCAATCGGAGGCACAGGGGGCAGGTGATTAAGGCTAAAGGAAGAGAAGCCTTCCAAAAATGATTGGTCTCTACACTATAGTGCACACCATTGGTCCCTAAATGTGTTATATGCATTCTTATGCTACAATATATTATAGTGACAATAACACTAACAATATTTAGCAAGCCCTCAGATCACTTCTGTGGTGACTGTGAGTTGTAGTCTTACATTGTACCTATGCAATTCATTTGTTCATTTTAAATCAAATCATGTGTTGTGTTTGCCAACCTGCATTTCAATTGTGTAGCGTTAGCATATTAGCCCAGCATCATTGAATGTCGTTTATCTGTAGCCTAGTGAGCTATTAGTTATTGATTGTTACCGGAAAAATAACTACCTAAGATAAACGGCCCGCTCCCCTGTAGATCCTGTGCTGTGCTAAGGGATAATGTGCCCTTCAGGTGTTATTTCTTCAATAATGACGGCTTCACTGCACATTATCCCGCTTACTACACAGCCACATATAAACAAACTAACAACTTGACTCTCAATATTAATTGAAATGATTATATTGACTTGAAAATAGTTGCATTGCTTCCGCTAAGAAAAAACCAAGGGCTGCAACAACACATTCATTTCAAATGAACAGCACTTATCAATGTTTTCTGTAACTGTCCAAGTCTGTTCACAGTTGTGATCCTAAAACATCCTTGAACAATGCCAGAGCAGCCCATACCGTGTTCCTTCCTGTTTACACAGTCTTTTTACCTCTTGACTTCTCTCCATCGATCCTCCTTAGCAACGGTCATTATAATGCTTAGCAGTGGTGTGTTCAACAGTGTTAATAAAGTCATAATAAAGGTTAGTATGTGCATAGAGCTGCTTTTTTAAACAGAAAGCTGTCTTCAACGCTTTTTAAAACAAGTATAATGATCAAATATTAGCCTTCGCTCCCCTCCCTCAGTTCAGGGGAACTGGCTGTCATTAGTAAATGGTCGTCAGTGGTAGGGTGTGTTTTTGAGGCTTTTGTAAGGCTGCACTATCTGTGGTGTTAACACTGCAGTAGCAGATATGTCAAGCTATTGCCTTAAGCCAGAGATAAGCTCTGTTCCTCATTTTCTGCCTGTTTCACCCTATTTCCCAAATCTCTCCGATCTTTATTTCCCTGAGAAAATATACATTTCTTTACATGTTACTTTCTTCCTCTTCTTATCTCAGCCTCTCATAATCTTTTGACCTGTATATTTTTATGTCCTTTTGGCATTACTTGTTGTACTTGATGCTCTGTTCCCATGGCAATCTGGTTCCACTTGTGCTTTTTTCTCTTCTCTCCAACATTTCTCCTGCTATTCATTTCACCCTCATTCTTACGCTCTGTGTCAGCGAGGTTTAATCTCCTGCTGCTTTTTCTCCTGCCTGTAAAGGACAAATGACTGACTGTTCAAATTTGAACAAAACATGAAAACTTTAAATATGTGAATGTACTGTCCACAGTGAAGTGAAGGGTGAAGATAGAGTTGACACAGCTGCAGGTCAGCAGCAGAGGAGAGAGGAGGGTGTCCGGATGAATTATACACTCCTTAATAATAATAATAATAATACATTGAATTTATATATATATATAGCACTTCTCATCTGCCAAGACAAATCCGAAGCGCTTCACAACAAAATACACTGATAACATTTAAGAGATACAAAAAAATAAAAAATAATAAAAAATAATTCAGTTATAAATTAAAGGTCAGAGATAGCGATACAAATGGCAGTATCCAGGTGTACCATGATACAAGTTTATTGGAAGGCCTGCCGAAAGAAGAGGGTCTTAAGGCCGGTTTTGAAAACCTCGGTGGGAGGGGCAGATCTCAGCTGATCTGGGAGGGAGTTCCAGAGGAGCGCTGCGAATGAGCAGAAGGCTCGGTCTCCCATTGTCCGGAGACGTGTGCGGGGGATGTAAAGAACAGGAGCGTGGCTGGAGCGGAGAGAGCGGGTAGATGTCTGGGTATGGATGAGGTCACAGGTATTTTGGGCTTTGGCCATTCAGGGCTTTGTAAGTGAGGAGCAGAACCTTAAACTGGATCCTGTAGTGGACCGGGAGCCAGTGTAGTTGGGCAAGTATGGCGGTTATGTAGGCGGACCTTTTTGCACCGGTGAGAACTCTGGCTGTACTGTTCTGGACAAGTTGCAGGCGGTTGATGGTGCATTGCAATAGTCTGTTCTTGAGAAGACGAGTGCATGAACCAGTCTTTTGGTGTCATCAGTTGAGAGTGAGGGCTTCAGTCGGGAAATGTTTTTCAGGTGAAAGAAGGAGGTCTTGGTGATTTGTTTGATGTGGGCTTGGAAAGACAGAGTGGAGTAAAACTTTACACCAAGGTTGGTGACAACGGAGGAGAGAGGATTGAGCTGACCATCGAGGGAGGGGCTGATGTTGGCGGCCTTCAATTTCATTAGTTATTATTTTTTCTCCTTTAACCCTCTAAACAAAATAAATCCACTCATAAACATTCCTCTGAAGTGTTCTTCAAAGGACCAGAAGAAGAACTTACTGACAACAGAAAGCAATGGGATATTTCCAATGGATTTTGAAATATTGCAGAAAATATGATTATAATATTATTAAATAATATAGATATTCAGCAAGCAAATGTTTAGGATATTTCTACGTTTTGTTCAGCAGGATAATCCCCACCTTTTCATGCTAATAGTTGAAGCTTTAATTCATTTGCCAGACATAAATCACTACCAATGGGCTATGAATGATCGCAGTCACATGACTTCGTGAAAACATCACTAAGGCTAATATTCGTTGTGATGATGTTTAATAATATTAATAATAAATGTTAGTATCACACCCTTTTTCAGGTGTTTAAAGATTCTTTAGAAAGATTAAAAAAAAAGAAAAACTTAAAATATAGATTGAGACTTTTTTAGACACATAAACCATCATTTGACGATGCATCTAAGCAGCTATGCAGGATATTATTGAGTGGGGTTATTATTGAATTATTTTCTTTCCGTATAACAAAACTCCTAAGCTTGAATTACCTTATTTCAGGTATCTTACCAAAAATACATTCAAATTTTTTTGACGTAAGACAAGGGAGTAACATGCTAACTAAGACTCATTCCTGAACTGCTCTATAGTGACCTTGAAGGAGACAAACACAATCCTAAAGTTGTCATAGCAATACTCCTAATGGTTAACTACACAGAAAACACCTGAGCACCACTCGCCTTCCTCTTCTGTCCTGCTAAAATCAGGTTGCTTTTGGCCCCATGTTCTTTATCTTAGAGAGGGAATCGTGGCCCCCTTCTTCACCAGCCCTTTCATCGCGGCTATCATTTTGTATCAGGTTGTTTGAAGGCGTGTAGAAGTATTTCACATCAGAAAGTACAGACCCTGAATGCAACTTAATTGTTTTTACCTCACGCCTGATCCGTTTGGCAGGAGGAGGAAGAGGAATATTGTAGAGACGAGATGAAGGTGGCACCAGCTGTTTGTTTTCAAATGGTGTCTTTGAGGATGACCTCTGCGGCACACATGCTGCCTGCTGGGAAAGTAAAAGCCTGCCAGAAGCGATGACAGGAATGGTTATTACAAATGGAGCCTCGGCCGCATCATACACTGCAATTCAACCGAGATAAAATCATGCAAATAATATTTCTTTCAGATGGTCTGCCGTTTTTTTGGCCATTCTCCCGCCGTTCTATCTCCGTAATTGCAGTGTTTTGAGAAAATTGTCTTGTGTTTTCGACAGCTTTATTTTTCCACAAAGACACATGGCAATCTCAGAGAGGGGAAAAAAGTCAAAAAAACAAAGAGCCGAGCCAGATAATTGGGTTGAGATTGCACTGACAGCCTGTTGTTAAATGTGTTAAATGAAAGTTTGATTCTTTAGACTGTCATGTTTTTCTGAAGCGCCCATCACAATATTTGAAGAGCTGGAGCTGCTTGCAAAGCTTTTATCAGCACTCACTGAGGCCACTGGTGATAAAAAAGGAAAAGGTGGTATGTAAATGAATTTGCCCCAGATTCCACAAGGATATTTTTAGTTACTGAAGTACACCTTGGTACGATCCAGCACAGGGTTATATTAATACAAATAGATAAGAAATGAAAAGATCTAACCTTACAATTCAAATCCATATTTCAAAAGCTGTCTTTGGATTGCGTCATTTGGTTTATTCTACATGCAGTTTTTTTTTTAAGGGAGACTGTTTATTGTGCGGCTATTGCCTTTATTAGAGTAAAAAGGGGGCAACAGAGGGGCGTGGCTGTTTTGGATTTCAACCAAGGTTTCAGCAGCAGGGACTGAGCTCATGTAGATTGTCTGCTAGCTCTACCAAGCTGATATTTGGCAGTCCTTTTTTTTTATGATCTTTTTTTGGACATCATTACCTTTTATTAGAGAGAGGGAGTTAAAAGGGAGAGACATAGGGGCGTTTTAGGGTTGGATTCCAACACGGTTCCTCTGCAGCAGCGACTGAGCCCATATAATATATATATATATACGAAGTTACTGAAGTACACCTTGGTATAATCCAGTGGCGGCTGATAAAAATAGATAATACATGAATAAATCTAACATTATAATTCAAATCCATATTTTTGAGCCGTCTTTAGATTCCCTCATTTGGTTCATTATAAGATCATTGTTTGGGCCAGCAGTGCCTTATGTAGAGTGACAGTGTTTAAAGGGGGGGAAAGAAGGCCATCCTCTGCATGGACTGAGCCCCTTGTACATTGTACACTATAAGGCGGCCCCTACTTGCATTTTCCTTCTTTTTAAAACGTTTTTTTGGGCAACTATTGCCTTTATTGGAGAGACTGGGCTAAAAGGGGGGAGACAAAGGGGCATCCTCGGGTTGAATTCTAACCTGGGTCCTCCACAGGAGCGACTGAGCCCATAGTACATGGGCTTCTAGCTCTGCCAAGTGAGCTTTACTACATGCAGTTTCTTTCATTTTTTCAAAGTTTTGATGTGCTAGGGGAGATAGAGCTGATGACACATGTAAAGGGACCGCAGGCCGGATTCAAACTTAGACTGAGCCCTAGTACATGGGCTCCAACCACTGAGCGATGTGGCGGCCCTACACACAGTTTCTTAATAAGATAGGTGGCACAGTGTCAGCTCTGCCTGTCCCCGACTCTTCATCCACTCTCTATGTGCAAATGGTTTCATTAGCCTTTTCACAATGTCACATTAGTCATCCTTTATTAATCCTTGGCTCTGCACCAGTCGCCTCTCATTCTCATGTATATTACCCCAGTCATTACAGCAATAGGATTACTTCAGAACTATCCCTCTCCTCAACTGGAGGTACTAGCGGGTGGCGCTAGCTTTTAGCCTCTAATTGGATATCTTGGTTATGACTGGGACCTTTAATAACCCCTGTGATGAGAGGGGGGGCTGTGTAAGAGCTTATAAGGGGTCTCCTCAGACACAAACCTCTCTGCACACCTACAAAGTCAAAGCATGGCTCCAGGCGTTTTACAACTGTTAATGGAGATAATTCAAGGAAAATGTATAAATTGGCTAGCTAAATGTAAACAAGTGTATACACCAGAATATTTCTACATGATATGAATCTATTAGATTCTACACTGACAGTTTGACCCTCTGTGTGCCCAGATGGTGGGATTTAAAGAATAATTTATGTGCAAAAAACAATACATTTTACCCTTGAAATCAACATGATAATGAAAACACAATACAAATGTATGTCAAATAATGTGCACACATATTCATTTAAATAATTTGAATGACTCATTTTAAATGTGTTCTACAGTACTAAATAATTTAAGTTGTTAAGCAATATGTTTAGAGACTCTTGTTTTTTAATTGAAGTTTTCCTATCTGTGATTTGGTTTTGTTGGGGAGGCCTAAATCTGGCCTAATTTAGTCTGATGTAGTTCCAAAGCAGCTGGGCTGACTTGTTATTTGCTCCGTGTTGCAGCTGGAGGAGCAGCTGAGCCGTCTGCAGAGAGAGAAGAACGACCTGCAGTCCAGGATGGAGGAGGACCAGGAGGACATAAACGAGCTGATGAAGAAACACAAGGCTGCTGTGGCCCAGGTCTGCTTCTGCCCTCTCTTTACCGTAACAACGTGAACATCACAACCATGCTTCTGTTTCCTATATGCAACTTGAATGAACACTTTTTATAATGGAAAAACAAAGAAATGAACAGAAGTTTAATCAAGCCACTTCATTAGTCCACACAACGTATTTGAGTTCCTCTGTGACGGTCAGAGACCTCAGTTTACCCATAACACCCTGCGCTGCACAAGTCAACCGGAACCTCATTAATTTCTCATTGTTTTTGTCAGAAACTTGCCTCAGTCATGTGGAGAAATTGTAACTTTTTCCGCAGATTTTAGACTGGTCATATGCGTTGTATGCCTCAGGAAGTTAGCATACAATACTCGCAAATTAGCTAAAAGGCAATTTCATATATTCAGCTTCATAAATATGTTACAGACTAAATAGTGTATTTCTATAACATTAATACAAATAAAAAACTCAGCTAGTTGTACACATATGTTCAATCTTATTTCTCTAAAATACATCCCTAGCTTACTTACACCACCACCACGGGATTTAAGTGGGATAGTTGTTCACCATACATCCCTACCAATTGAGACATTTTTAAAAGCAGTGGAATTAGGCTACCCCCCCCCCCCCCCTCCCACCCATTCATCTAACTGTATATGCAGATGAACAGCAAGGGCGAAGTGGAGTGAAAGCGCTTATTTTTCACTGCTGATGGATGAAGAGTGATCTGCTTCCACTGGCTCCAAATGAGTCCATCCTTCCTGTCATCATTGAAACAGTTGAATTCCCCGTGGGACCCACTGTAGCAGAGTGCTTCATCTACTGTGAAAAAAGCACTCGTCTCAAATGTTTCACTCGGGTCACATTGAGATAAGATTTTATTGATATGCCTTCTGCAGACTACAAAACATCTTTCCAGCAGATTTATTTGTCTAGGTAAAGTCACGTCTTCATGTTTTGTTGGAGCTACGTGAAGCTTTTTATTTGTCTGCATTCTAGCTGCATGTACAGTCTGCAGAGCTGATGCACTTGTTAAAATGAAGTGCTCCGACAGTTTCATGTTGCTCGCTGACTTTGCTTCTGTCTTTGTGTTTTCAGTCGGCCCAGAACCTGGCTCAGATCAGTGACCTACAAGCCCAGCTGGAGGAGGCCCTGAAGGAGAAGCAGGAGGTTCAGGAGAAGGTAGATGCTGCTTTTCTGCCCTTAGCTTACCATTCAAAATCTGTTCCTTTTTTAAAGTACACGTCAGAGAAAGGCCAGTAGGAAGTGTTAGTGAGCCTTAAAGTCATGTCACATATTGTAAGGCTTTAAAATACGCTAACTAACAAATAAAAAAACATAATTTATGTATCTTATAAAAATGTTGGGTTCCCAACCAAACTAAACTGACCACCAAAATATCGGGGTAAAAGATGTTCCTTTGCTTGATAATGTATTTTAATTTTGAGTGCAAAGGGTGTGAGTAATGATCTGGTGTTAAAACACAAAGCACCAGGCCTCATGATTCTCTACGTGGTAATTCTTTACATCACTGTTACTGAAGTGCATGAAAGTATATTGAATGGTAAAATATACAATCTCTTGTTTGTTTCTCTGTAAATTTGGTTTACAATTTTGAATGCTTGAATCCAAAGAGACAAAAGCGGGATTATGGTAAGCGTTAGGGTTAGGGTTTAGTAATATAGCAATTCAAAAAGGTTTGAGAACAGGATCCACTTCACCTCCCCTGACGCCGAGGCTTATCTCGAGTTTTCTCTGCTTTTGTGCCCATTGCAGAATGCCATTTACAAACTTGCTTGAATGTGCAGCCCTGCCTCTTTTGCCTTGGCTTTTTATTAGCAAAAAACAACCCTTGATGTAATTGATGTGTCATTCAGGCAGGATTGGCACTGGCAATATGTGACGCATATGGTCTCCCAAGCTCAGATAAGCAATAATGCTGTACATGGTATAGCTGTCATCTTCATAATGACGGCTGCTGCGGAGTCTTTGTCATCAGACACAGCTGCCCCTGTCAAATCAAACACAGCCAAGAAAAGGCAGAGATCTAACCCCCTATCTCCCACCTTTCACCTGTACAAGTGTTTGTATGAGCCATACAATTACTAACAAAGCACTTATATACTAACAAAGGACTGGCTTATCTAAAGCCAGTTGAGTAGCACTTGAAATGTTTTGGCTCTATGAAACCTGATGTACTTATATGATTCTGTTTTCTTCAAGTTTGTATCTTCTTGGTCGAATGCACTTATTGTAAGTCACTTTGGATAAAAGCGTCAGCTAGATGTAATGTAATGTATGACCCAAGCTCTGTATTTTTCTTTACTATGAATTATGAAATCAACATCTATAGGTTCAGTTTCAGGGCACGTATCTCCACTGAGACGAACAGAAAATGCTGCAACTTACCTAAAGCTAGAAAGAAATCAACAATACCTCACCATTCTTCACGATGTATCACCGGTTGCATTTTGTTATTTAAAGTAGCAATATGAATGGTTTTAATCAGACAAATGATGCTTGTGTGGTTAGCATCGAGCTGGAGTCAATACGTGGTTAGCCTAGCTTTGCATTAAGACCGGAAGCAGAGAGAAACAGCTAGACTTTCTCTGCCTAAAGTTTGACATGATTTAAGTCAAGTGTACTACTGTCCTATGGTGGGTTGCCCATGCTGGTTATATGGGGTAAACACACTCAACCCAGATATAGATAAAGCTTTAAATATTTAACATTTAAAATGGAGATGGAGAATGTATAACTCAAAACATCAACAACTGTAATGATTGGTTGGAGTTAAAACTTCAAGTTCTTCTTTTGGTTAATCACCCAGTGTTCTTTTCTTTTTTTTGGAAACCAATCATTTGAATAAAGGCTCTAAGGTCATAAGGATTAGCATCCATTAGGAGGTGGAGTTGTCTCAAAGCAATGAATAAAGTGCTACAGATGACGACAGTCGAACCACATAAATATAGAAAAGTAGTGTACCCAGGACAAAGCCTTGAGTAAGTAATAGGGATGTAACGATATATTGAATATCGCGATATCGCGGTAAATAAATGTCTCAATACCGTCGTGAGACTGACAAAATCTACCGCGATTTTTAATTTATTTATTTTTAAATAATTTTTTTAAAAAAACTTTATTCAACCAGATGGTCCCATTGAGATCATCGATCTCTTTTTCAAGGGAGACCTGTCCAATATGGCAGCAAGTAGGTTACAACATGAACATAAAACAACAGATAACACAAAAGGTATTTACAGGGCTACATGTACATACCTAGAGACATTGACAAGTACCAACAGTATATTTATATCTCTGTCAATAAGCCTCACCTTCTTGGCAAAAACTGTATTGTTTTTGAAGTGGTGGAGAGACAATGCACAGTTTTAACCACTGCTGTTACCCATGGCCAAAGCATATCTCTCTGTCCCAGCAACATCAGTACCAAGCAAGAGAGTTGTTTCCACAGCAGGGGATTTTGTAAACGCCCAAACATCCCAGCTTCTACCTGGAAATGTGGACATGCTCATATTCCTAAAAGATAACCTTGATGATGCTGAGTGAGTGAGTGAGTGAGTGAGTGAGTTAGAGTTGAGTTACTTGAAAAACTAAAGTGAAACTTGATTTATTCTATTGCAGGGTCTGATTATTATATTGTTGACACTTTTAAATACTACTATCCCAGGGTTGCCAACTCTCACGGATCTGGCGTGTGACACACGCTTTCACTCTCAATCTCACGCTCTCACGCTGCCGAAACTATTCTCACGCCAAAAAAGAAGAATACCGAAGACTAGAAACGGTTTTGAAAACTTTTGTCAGGTAGTGATCGTCTTCTCAATAGAACATCTTTGATAATGTCTTCTGGCCAATCAGAATCAAGATAACGGCGTGGTGTTGTTGCAGGAAGTCCCACGGAGAATACTTTTGCTGTAGTACATCTCTATATACATCGATACAACATTACGTGTTGATATAAATAGAAATCAACCCGTAATGAAATAAGACCCCACGGTTTGATGATTGATAGGTGTGTGGGCTGTCTTTCATTTTGACACACAGAACAATGGGGGCTGTCCACCCTTATCCACAATGTAAAGTAACTCACACAGCCTCTTCCCTCTTCAGTGAGGAGCAGCAGGTTCAGCTTTCAGAACAAAGTAACACAAAACTAAAATGGCATTCATTTTTTTAAATATGTCGTGGAGTAATAGATTTATTTATTTTTCTTCTCAAGAGAGTACCAGAATGTGTATTTTATGTTAGTATTTCAAAAAATCTCCTGGGGGAGAATCCCCCCAGACCCCCCTGCAGGGGTTGGGTTTTCAGCATGTCAACTCTTTCACCTGTGGGGAAATTGCAGGATTGGCTCCAGGTCATCCTTTTTATTTACTACAAGACAAATGTGCCTTTTTATTTCATACAGTTCAATTTGGATTGAGACAGGGAAATAATCTAAACCTCACGCGTGGCGTTTCACTGTCATGGGAGGCGATATAGCGTGTATGTAATTACATTGCAAATACTGACTTGAGCCCCACCATTACATTACATTGCATTTAGCTGACGCTTTTGTCCAAAGCGACTTACAATAAGTACATTCGACCAGGAAGACACAACCTTGAAGAAAACAGAATCATATAAGTACATCAGGTTTCATAGAGCCAAACATTTCAAGTGCTACTCAACTGGCTTTAGATAAGCCAGTCCTTTATTAGTATAAAAGTGCTTCGTTAATAGTTCTAACGCTCGAAGTGGAGTCGAAAGAGATGAGTTTTCAGTTTGCGCCGTAAGATGTGCAAGCTATCTGCCGTCCTGATGTCAATGGGGAGCTCATTCCATCATCTTGGAGCCAGGACAGCAAACCCACGTGTTTTCGCCGATGGGAACCACCACTGTATGGGTTAGCCCTACCATAGATTACCCAACACAAATACTCTCTCGCAACTGCCGACCCATATTGCGCATGCGCAGATCTAAGATCCAGTAGAAATGATAAAAAAGTAAAAGTCTGCTGCTTATTGTTCTACTAGGCCAAAATAGAGTGTGTTAATTAATATGTTTGGAAGTTTGTAGTAAGTCTGTAGATTTGTTTGTGTCTGTGTGTTTCATGTATAGGCCTCTCACGATAATTAATTTTGTTGGATACATTTTCCCGGAAATTATTGCGATAAACGATAATATTGTCGGCACCGTTGTATGACCATTTTAGACCACCGACATAATGATAATATATAATAATAATTCAAGTACATCCTTTCAAACTGCTAGTCACATCCTCATGTAAATGGCAATTTATCGAGTTAATTTTTATGTATCGTACGATAAGTCAATGAATTGCTTATCGCGACAGGCAGACAATAAAACAGTGGAAACAAACATGTGTTTGACTTTCATTAGTGAATGAAACTGTGTGCCCTTTATAGTCTGTGTCCAATATTGTGTATTTGTATATATTGTATATATATCCTATATATATGCTAAGGTCATTTCGTGCGCATATGTGTAATCAAACCCATGATATCAAAATCTCACTCCAGCCAGGTACCCAAAGTTGGCAACCCTGTACTATCCTACTAAAATGCTGTACAAATCATATTTATTATTTAATAAAGAAAAAAAACTTCAAGTACATTTTTTTTATTATATATATTTTTCAATATCGCGATAAATATCGTACCGTGGACTTTGTATCGCGATATTATCGTACCATGAGTTGTTGGTATCGTTACATCCCTAGTAACTAAGCATGTATAGATATGTAAAGTTGTGTATGTTTGTGTCATAGATACAAGCCCTCCAGAGCCAGCTGGAGTTCCAGGAGCAGTCCATGGTGGAGAAATCCCTTGTCAGCCGGCAGGAGGCTAAGATCCGCGAGCTGGAGACCAAGCTGGACTTTGAGAAAACCCAGGTCAAACGGCTGGAGGTGAGAAACAAAAACAAAGGTGGAGGAGTGCTGGTGTTGATAGGCCGCTGGTCGAGGAAGCTTTAGCATGCCATGGGAGGAGGTCTTGGGAGGTTAAAAAGTAGAGAAAGGTCATGATAAACTGATTCTAAATGTCACCACATGTAAGGTACATGACCATTGCAAGTTAGATATTAGCATCAATGCTTTTGTGTTACGTTCACTCGACAAACCATTCCTTGTTGTGTCAAATCGTTTACGGTTTTGCCTGAGACAAAAAGCACAAGTGAGGGATAGAGGTAACCATCTGCATACTCCCAAGGACACATTGAATACCTCTCGCCCACTGATAGAATGAACCTGTGCTCAGTTTTGCAGGTTCGATTTAGTAATTACTAACTGTGCAATGTGCTCACCGCAAGGCTAACTCCCTCTGCTTCTCACCCTCCAAAGTCAAAATATGTATTTATTTAATGTGATTCTTTTTTTGCCTGGGGTGGAATTTGCAGAGTTAGGAAAATACAGACAGTTAGACTCTGCCTTGCTTTTGTGTGGGCTCTTAAGTAAGGGAATATTTCAGGTTGCCTGAGTAGTATAACTTATCAAAGCTGGAGGTAGCAGAGCTCAATCAATACAGATGTGAGGAGGAGGCACAGCAAAACACCCACTCAGAATGTGAAATATGGACAGGGCTAGTGGCTAATGCAGGAGCTAACTCAATGATGAAGCACAGTATGCTGCTGTCATTGATGTGCAGACTGAAGACAGACTGCATAGAGGAGTCAGCTGTTCAAACATATGTGATGTTAGTCCGTTGCACCACTCCAATACATCATTGAAGTTAGGGGTGTACACAAATATTCATACTAGTAACTGTATTGATTTTCAAAAACACTATTGATTCCTTATTACTGGTTTACATGCATGGATAAACTCAGTCAATAATTGATTTCATTTGCAAAAATATACCCCATTTATAGTATTTTCCCTTTCCAATTGGTGCTATTAGGTTTAGTGTCACAGGGGCTGTGATAAACATGGTGCTTTGTTCTTAATACTATTTATGTTGTTTTCTAATCTATTAGGGTCATTTTCAGGTTCACTTTGTACTTTGTGCCTCTTCTGGTTCTGCTCTGATTGGTTAGCTGGCCTGCTCTGTTGTGATTGGTCAATCGGTTAGCGATGTCCCGCCCCTAGGCTATCACGTACAACGTGTTGGAGTGCTAGCCAAAAGGAGTGAGAATGTTACATAGTGATGTCAAGTTTGAACCACGGATAAGCCCTTGCTGATCTTTGAAGGAGCCGTATCGAAGTAAAAATATAATATTAAAAATGTTGCATAGCACCACTTTTTTCTAGTGTAATATCTCAACAAATATGGCATTTATTAAAACCACATTTGTTATAGATATTCATGTTCCTCTAAGGATTAATTTGAATCATTTTGTTGACCATCTAGCAACATCATCAGATACACATTTCAATTGTCCTGGTATTCTTGTCTGGGGAAACATGAAATACATTTCAGGACGTCATGATTCTGAAGGCTGAGTCTGAAGGCTAACCGGAAGCCAATCATAATTATGAACCTTCTATCAGAATCCAAATCTGAATCCCTTTATTAGTCCCACAAACCCCTATGAACCATTGACCCTCTGATTGTTGGACCGTAATGTATCCCCTGAGCCACAGCTGCCCAGTAATCGAACAGAACAGTGTGTGCATGTGTCGGTCAGCATCTTGTCAGATGACGTACAGTGATGTTAGGATTTCACTTTTTTTGCAGGACGACTAAGTAAATGTGACTACATTTATTTGTGTACTGTCCAAATGTGCATAATATGATGTTACCATTGTGAGCTTATGTTGAACCTCTTTTATCCTCTTTGCCCTGCAGAGCCTTGTAGCTCGTCTCAAGGAGAACTTGGAGAAACTGACCGAGGAACGAGACCAGTGCAGCAGCGGTGAGATCCGAGAGAAGGAACAGAACAAACGGCTTCAGAGACAGATCCGCGACAACAAGGAGGAGACGAGCGAACTGGCCAAAAAGGAATCTGAGGCCAGCCGCAAAAAACATGAGCTGGTAAGGACGTGACAGACAATAATGAGACTACTTCTAACAATGATCAATGAACCTGTAAAGCATCCAGCGACAGCACTGTAGCAGCATTGATATGGTCAACCTCTGATCCACCTCCGCTGACTCTCGTCTCATTAACAGGAAATGGACATTGAGAGCTTAGAGGCTGCGAATCAGAGCCTGCAGTCAGACCTTAAGCTGGCCTTCAAAAGGATCGGTGACCTGCAGGCAGCCATCGAGGACGAGATGGAGAGTGACGACAATGAAGACCTCATCAACAGGTACAGAAAAAATCTCTTCTGGGTTGGAGCTTTCCCCTCACAAAGTAATCCTCGGAATTTTGTAAATGTCCCCTCTGTGAGATGAAGGTATTCTGATTGTATCTATTACAAATATACAATCATCCACATCATTCTAAGATGTTTTATAGCTTACAATTTGTAAGTAATTGGTTGCCATTTCCATCCTTACTGCAACATTTTTACTAAAATTGTAAAAAAAACGTACGATGCTGTTAAATGCAGGCAAACATCTGGATTCTGACTTACATTCTATGTAGAGTTGTTTCTCTACTACTCTTCTACTCGCTATAAATGCTCATTCTGCTATGTTAGGATGCTAGGATCAAATAGTTACATGTGACATCAGCTTCCTGTTGTATCTGATCTATTTTTCTTTCGCAAGCGTGACAAGAGCAGATTGAAATCAGTCTTACGTCTGTGTGTAGAACAAAGCTTTGACTTAGATATCCAGGTTCCATTGTGCCTGTAGAGACAACAAAGCCACAACTTGCTCTCCACCTGTAACTGGCACCCAGCGCTGAAGCCGCAGAGGAAATACATAAAGACACATGTTTACATTTGTCCTTCCATACGGATAAAACAATGGAGATACAACATGATAATAAGTGAGCTGTAGGTGTTGGAAGGTGTATGTTTGAACTTTAGACTGTCAGGCTAGCGGTTTCCCTTTTCCTTCCAGTCTTTATGCTAAGCTAGGCTAACCATCTGTCGTTAACACACACACACACCTATTGTGAACATTTCTCTCAGAAAGAAAGCCGAGTCCTAACTCCGGAAATGAGTTATCATTTTAGCACTTCCTCGTCGAGAAATCAATATATTTTTTGCGGGATAGATTCCAGAAATAAGATGTTTGGTTAATACAAGCTTAGGAAATTGTTAAGATTTGTTCTATGACATCAAATATGTCAGTAAACACCAACCTGGTGAACGTCTGAAGCGTTTATGTGTCTTAAAAAAGGTTGTCGCTAACAAGCGGCTAGTCTACTAAACTTCATCAGGCCAAACATCAGCAACCATTAGCTTCGCGGTGACATGAAGTCATGCGATCGTCATGTATGTAGTTTGTTTATAGCCTAATGTGTTAATATGCGTAGATTATCCTGCTGAACAAAACATGTAAATATCCTAAATATGTGTTTTTCTAAGATCTTATTTTCTGCAATATTCCAAAATCCAATGTAAAACTCTGGTTGTTTTTTGCGGAGGGAGCCCTTAGGATGCTAACTCCCGGGTCAAACTACAGAAATACTTCATCACTGCAGCACTCTTTCAGATGAGGGAGGGAGTGAGTCACACGGAAATGATCTCTTGATAAAGCATCTCTCACGTTGTATTATCCACAGCCCAGTCCTCAGGCACCTGCTGAGCCTTACACACACACAACACACACACACACACAACACACACACACACACACACACACACACACACACACCACACACACACACACACACACACACACACACACACACACACACACACACACCACACACACTCACTCAGGGTCGTCCTCCCTCTCTGTATGCAGTACTAGAGCAGTCCCTGCATACCTTACAGTCAGTTCGCCAAAAGCAAATCAAAACTGGGTCATCCCAGCAACTGCCATAACACACATATTTATAGAGACATTTTGAACCATCATTCATTAAAGCATTATTTTGTACCTAAGATACTTTCAAGCTTCTCATGTTCTACGTATTATTTTTGTCTTAATTCTTATATTGTGTTTTTCTTTTCTGTTGTCGTTTGTTTTTCCTGTTTTCTTTTCTTCCCTGTCCCTCCACCCATCATCATCACGACCAGTTTGCAAGACATGGTGACAAAGTATCAGAAAAGACAGAACAGAGCGTGAGGAACCTTGACTTGTGTTTTGTTTTTTTAACCACTGGAAATGATGCAGTATTCTCCAGTCTTTGAACATTTATTTGAGAGGTTGATATCGAAGAGAGAAAAGTTTTTCTCCGGGTTTAGATACGGTCTAGTTAGCCCATCACTTTCTGGCTGTCACACTGTTAGAAACGAGCTGATATTTGAAGGAAAAATCCCCCCTGACAGAAGAACTAGAAACGATTTGGAAGGCTCCTTGGCATTCTTGGCCAATTTTGTGATTTTCATCTATTTCAAGACATCAGCTATTGGTGTCAGGCCCTCAGAATCAAAGAGCTATGGCTCAGTTCCAGATGCACACATGTTCAACAACTCAAATGCCTCATGGTAGATGCAGAGATACAGTAAATCCAAGAGGGGGGGGATTTCCTTTTGATGTGCGAAGGCTCGGGGATAATGCATCATCAACAGTGCTCAGAGATTCCTTCCTAACACACAGTGTACTCTTCATTGCATGCCCTCACATGTTGAGATGCATGAATACCACTGACCATATGTTACTTGAGTCCCAGCATGAAACATCTCTCCTTCCTCGGAGTCTCTGTAACCGCTTTGCAAAGCTTTGAATTGAAAGGCATCTTGTCTTGATCTCTCAAGTGATCCTCCTGGAGGCTCAGATCTTCCTCTCACTTCACCTTCACACAGCCGGGGGGGTGTATCCAGCTGTGTTTACCGCCTTGGTCTTAGGGCATCATGTCGGACTTCATGGTGTCATGTATGAACAGCGGTCTGCAGTGAGTCAGCCTCTGGCTCCCGGGGGCCACCTTAATATTTCATGGGCCCGCTCCAGGGCTGGATGTGACTGCAGCTCAGTGGCGTCTGCCCTCCTGACAGGGGACGAAAAGAGTGTGTTCCTCATCCATTGACTCGCACCTGCTTAATAATGCAGAACGCTCAACTGTCGGACAAAAAGCTGTCTTGCTCACCGGCAAGTAGCACGCACACACGCAGCGTTAACTTGTGGCCCTCAGCCAGTCCGTGCCCTGTCAGTGGGAGGGGGGGGGGGGGCTGTTGTCAAAGACACCAACGTGTTTTTGTAACCGGCTGTTTGCTCTGCCACCTCTGAATAAAACAGCTCATCTTGTACGGTGTTTGGATAAAACATGCATTTCTATTTCCGTGACATATAAATAACATAGCTATACATTTGAATAGATTCATATTAATACAGTATAATTCAATTGGTATAAAGCTGTATGAGCCTATAGATGCATCTGATACTGCAGCCCCTTTGGCTTAGAAAATACCTATGAAATTATTGTTTAAACATCATTTATTTGTAAATTAGAACTCCTGAGCTCACTTTAAACTTATATTTGAAATGTTCCTGACACTAACCTGTACAAATCAATATTGATTTTTGGTAAATACAGGGCTGTTTTTCAGTAGCACCAGTATTAAAAAAATATATGCTTCTTTACCACAAGCTTCTAAATGAACATCCACATTTGGTTGTCCTTATTCTTCAATACTGCTCAGATACTGCTGGAAGATAAATGTGTTTACTTTGGCTTAGCTGTCAATCAACATGTTCTCAGACAGCCAACAGGGGCTTGGAGGATGACATAATATCACTGATGCATCTCCAAAGACCTAAAGTGGAACTCACTTTACCCCAGATATTTGATTACACTAAGGAAAGGCTTTTGTCGCTTCATGTGACATCTAATGAATAACTGTTCAAAGTCACTGCTCTTGACAGTGTACGTTTTGCAGCACAGATGAACTGTGTTACCTTCTCTTGTGACGTGGGGGCTGAGAGGATGTTTCCCCACGGTCTTGGAGACAATGCATATGCCTGTCCGCGCTGCAAAGCCACAGGGACTTCACTAAGTCGACAGTTTCATATATCGGAGGCATGAACAGTGGCGTCCGTAAGACCCAGGGACACAGAGGAGCGGAGCAGAGCAGGAGGATCTATAGAAGCTAATGATGAATGTAATGGTGTGTAACAGAGATGTACAACCAATGGCGGCGGGATGTCACAGACAATTAATGTCTCCTCAGCACTGTGTTTGTTTGCTTCCCCTAGGCTCTCGGCAGGGCTTAACTAATGGTATGGTGGTCAAGGACATAAATTGTGTTTGACACCATGTGTGAAGTGCGCAATTATATATTGCCCACAATTGTGGTTTTGGCTGTAGAACCTGCGAGCTCTCTTATGTGCTCTGAATGTATAACACAAGTGTACACAGACAAGAAAGTCTTTGGAAAATAGTGACACAAAATATGAAAGCTCTTTTAATGAAATCTGAGTTATAATTCGTTTAATACTGACCGTCGCTGCAAAACATTTACTGTCAACGTCTATAATGTATTTTACTACAATATTCGCTCGTAGCATCTCTAGTGTGATGACTGTTTTGAGGCAAATGCTGTGTCTCAATTCAGATACTTCCCTTAGTACACTGCCATGGCTTGGACTGTGAACATTTGTTGTATTTCAACCAGGAAGCGTTATCTGAAATACACTCGGCTGATGTGCCCTCGACAGAAGTGTTAGTGCTGCAGCTAACAGCGGCTATCGACTAGCTGCTTTTAGCTAACTAGCAAACAGAAATGTTGCTAGCAATGTTATCGTTTGCGGTTGCAAATCATTACATCCGCTCAATCAACCCAATAACATTTATGGTTGCTTTTTAACACTATGATAGTGGTATCTTTATCAAATAAAAAAAAAACACACATACAACGTTTTGTTTACGGTGCTGTGTTGACCAGTGCCGCAACTTTAATTAAAAAGTGGTTGTTCAGTATGTTAAGTGTCCAGCATTCAGTCTTATAAGTGCACTTTAGGTACTTACAGTGCATTTTGCTATACTTTGCACTGGGACAAACGTATGCACTCAAAATATCAACAGTACAGAAGTATTGAGACACAGCAGAAGTGTTTTTGTCAGCCTTACCCTTTCCACACACAGAGGTCCTGTGCTTCGTATGTCCACTATCCACCCTGAACCCTGCCTATGATTTGTGTGGTACTAGAACACACCACACATTGGGAACTAACTTAAAACAGTCCAGGCAGCAATTACCTTTCCTCCCTTCAAAACATATTGGGCATAATCATTTCAAGGACAAGGAGTTGCTGACCATGAGCCTCTGAAACTGTCATTTTTTGTTTAAGGAGACTCGCCAGTCTCACTACGAAGGGAAAACAACCTTAACTGCACTTGGTTTCCCCATTTTCATATGTTCGAGAAGTAAGAGTTTTCATATTTTAAACGCGTTTTGCCAGTGAACACAAAGGTTATAAAGGAATCATTTATAAAAGCTCCAGGAAAGAGTTGACTCAACAAAACTTGACCAACGCACAAATCCTTGCGAGCCTTTAACTCTAAAAGGGTAAAAAAAAGAAAACATGTGATACTGTAACCTACGTTACTCCTTCAGTTATGTGTATTCATTCTTTTCTCAAAAGCCCCCAGAGACAGACAATGAATTACATCTTAAGAGTTGGTCGCCTCCCTCCTCAGCTTTGGTATGAATGCTCTCCTAGCATTACTGCCCAAGGTTATTGTAAATATAACCTTTGAAATCACACAAACTAATTATGTTGTTATTATCATAGTTTAAGTGGGCCTTTATAAATAATGTTTTTCTCTCTCTTCCACGGCAAGATGGGAGGCTTTCTGAAACAGATGCAGAGACGTTGAGCCACCCTCTGATGTCTCTGTAGGACTATTAAGCTGTAACAACTTAATTTCACAGCAACACACAAGCACTGGGCTTTGACGGCACTTAATGACTGTTGCGCTCTCTTCATCCGTGTCTAATTTGATGACAAGCCCTCTTTTTTACTCTGTGGCTCGCAGTGGTTCGTGAATGTGTAATGATGATTGTGAGGAAAAACAGCGCAGTGCCCAGCTGTGTACCAAATCATTCTGTCAAGAACGGAAATGACTGGTGTATGCATATGACTGCGTGTGTGTGCAGGACTGGTGATGAAAATAATTATCAGATGAAAGGTACATTTGGACGTTTCCTGCCACCGCTGTGCAATTCAGCAAATAATGTGGTTTTTTTCCAACAAAAGTTTTCAGTTTTTTTTCTATCTTTAATCCTGATGACATTTATAGGACTGTAAACAAATGGAAGTGGACAATTCCTCTCATTTCATCGTTTTTTATTTTGGTTTTGGTTGTTACGCTCCTATTGTTCGAGGTTTATGCAGGTATTTCCTGCTGAAGGCGGTTAGACTGAAACACAGACAATTATAACAGGGTTCTTACGGTCTTTAAAAACCGGGAAAATATTTATATAATTTGTTTCTGGTATTTGAACGCCACTATATGTCAGTTCAGTCAAGTCGGAAAATATCTTCTGAGAAATCTTTCTGAAGTGAACTCCGCAGATTTAACATAGCACGTGTCAATCAAGAAGAAGAAACAATCCAAACATGCAGTCAAACTACAGATACCATCTTTAATATTCAATGCATTCTTCTTCGTTGCCAAATCGTGCTGTCTACATTTCCCAAAATGCAACTCTGCTTCATAGGTTTTGTCAGAGATGCAGGTGTGTTATGCTGGTAGCTATGGCTCTGCAATACTAAGCATTGTATGACCCCTTTACAGCACCAGGCAGGTGTTGAACACATTGTCAGTTTAACCCCAAATCAACCACCTATTTGAAATAAAGTTATTTAAAAAAACAAGGATAGTTCCTATATGCAGGCTCTCTCACTGGTTCTTGTTCCTGTCATGGTGCTACTGGGGCTCTGGGAGAGGTAAAGGTAGAATGTGTGTTGGTTGCCTGAGATGCTAACTGCAGGACCATGAAAGCGCTCGTCTAACAGTGACAGCAGGAAGAAGCTGCTGCGTGGTGTGGCATGTTTGTGTGCTTACTGGTGCTTTTTGAGCATGTGCTGCCTTTTATTATGAATACATGTCACTATCCCCCTTTGCTTCCACACTAACACTTACAGCCTGTTCTTCATTGTTTGGATCCACAGCTACAGAGAAATACAGGAACTTTTCCACCAGTGTTGTCTCTCCTTTCACACTAACATTTGTTTTGCCTTTTTCTCTCCTCTGAATGACAATTTATTACGGTTTTCTATTCATAACCTCCTCCGCATCTCTCCTTTGCTTCCTCTGACTTGTTCTCCTGTCTCTGACTCCTCTCCAGTCAGGGCGATTCCGACACAGACTCTGAGGTGGAGGACCGTGTAGACGGGGTGAAGTCATGGTTGTCTAAAAACAAAGGATCCGCCAAAAACCTCTCAGATGACGGCAGCCTCAAGAGTTCCAGGTCAGTACAAAGGCAGCTGTTATTACTACCACTACAGCAGCTGATACTAAGTAGTCTACCTACACATTTGACTGCTTCTGAACTGTGTCGGGATGAAGTTAATGCAATAGCAGTAGAGCACTTGGTTGAAATAAGGTGGGAGCTATTACTTACGTGCTTTGAAGCTGCTTTGTCTTTATTGTCGTCCGCTCGGTGAAAAGGAGACTTTTTTTTTTCAAACAAACCACCTCCATGGTAGATTTATCGACCTGCCCACTGGCCAGCTGGCGTAGTCTACCTGAGCCGCTTGCTAAGATTAATGAATGTGTCTGCCAGGTGACAGCTTCCAATGCCCCAGATTTTTCTCCTCACCAGAAGATTTAACTTCACTTCCTCTCCGAGCTACTCCCAACTTTAAAAACTTTATGTGCTTTTAAATCTCTCTTAGCAGCATGTCCCCACAGACAAACACTGTCTGATTGCCCAGCACTGACTCCTGTAATGTCTTTTAAATCGATGGGACTTTAATGTCAATGTATTTGCCATTTGCAAAGGTATATCCTGCCTAGTTGTCAGTCCTTCACATAGACCCACGTTATTAGTTTCTTATCAGTTGTCTACAGCTATACTATCCTTTCTCTGTCTTTCATTCATTGCTGTACTCATTTTGCTCAATTTCATTAGGTAAAATTCGACTACAGGAGCTGCCCTCTTGAAATGATGACACCATATGTAACCTGAGTGTGCACAGTTGTATAAAGAGGCCTAAGAACCAATCTCAGCCTGTTAGCATGAGCAACCTAGCTGTTATATTAGCATTTGAACAACTAAGCTCGTCATCTCTCTAAATACATTCATAACCAAATTGACGCAGACTCATAATTAGTATTTCAAAACGTCATCTGTTTGTCTGCTGACAGTAATATGAACACACACATTGGTCTGATAGCGCTGGCTAACCTTAATGTCAGTGGATATGCAGTTAAGCTAGCTAGCGACATGTTTAAATATGCATATAATCACTTTCGTTATAGAAAGTTAAAGTTACTTCTCTCTACATGTCCACTCAACGTATAGTAGCAAATGTTAAGGCCAGATTAGAGTCCTTCATCAAATCTGTGAGATTTAGGTTTCAACAAAAAGCATTTACTGTGAAGAATAGTAAGATTTAAGGGATACAACTCAAACGTTGCCTTTCATTTGGCTAGATGAGGGTTTTTTTGCCATTATGCCAAATTGGACAAAACATCTATATTACTTTAAAGTGAGCTTGTAATAGATTCATGATTTGTCCATTTCTTCATCATTACTGTGGCCTTTATCTGTCATTGATGGGCAATGCAATTATTTTGATGTCTTAACATTCCAATGCAGGGAAACAAAAACACTATTAGTTTCTTATCATTCTTCACAGCTACGCTCTCCTTTCTCTGTCTTTCAGTCATTGCTGTATTCTCATTTTGGCTACATTTCATGACTTTTTTTATTTGTCAATTTCATTCATTTGTTTTTATTTGTTTCCTTTACTCACCTCCACTTGACCTCATCTTTGTCATTTTCTCCCTACCTGTCTTCTTTCCTTTGTCCTTTCCACTGTGGCTTCTTTCTAGATATGCTTCAAATGTAGACGCAAAGGAAGGGAAAGAGGGTAAGGAATGGAAAGAGTTCAATAAAGAAGGCAAAGAGGTAGAGCCGAGCAGGCCTATGTCAGTGATGAGCTCGCTCAGCTACAGAAAACGCTCCAACATTGACGGCAAAGGGGAAGCCCTCTTCAGTTCCCTCAGGGAGAATGCAGACTCAGAAGATGCTTTCCATAAGGGTAAACCTAAAAACTCTGATCTTCAGCATGACTCAATGAACTCCAGGCGGAAGTCCCAGGCAGAGGATACGCTGAAGGACAGAGATTCAGTCATCTCACAGGCTTATTCAGAGGCCAATAGCCGAGCCAGGAAAGGCATGGACAGCCGCTGGGGGGACTTTGACAAAGAATCAGTCGTTTCATACGCTGCACCAAGTCGGGCCTCAACGCGTCTTGGATTGAGCCCCGAGAATGACGCCAAATCTACCATCAGCTTAGGTCTATCAAGCCCACTGGGACGCCACCAAAGCACCTCACGCTTAGATGAGAGCAGAGGCGGGCGCTCGGTTTATGGCAGCAGTCCCAGCAGCCCTTGCTTCAGCAGACGGACCGGCGGTCGAAGCCCTGGGAGCGTTAGCCGAGCTGATTCCCACATGTCTCTGGCACGCAGCAGCCGCCTGAGCGAGTTTGGCGTTGATATTGATGATAGTCGCAGCGTGGCTTTTACCGAGAGATCAGCGTACAGTCCTCACTCGTCCACTGGCCGCAGTGTCTCCATGCCTCCATCACAGGCCAGATCATCAACTACCGATAATGACCCAAATGATAACATGGATATCAAAACAGTCAGTCATCGCAACTACCTCGACCCTGACCTGGAGAAAGCCATCAACGAGGTTCTGAGTTTCAAACCTATCAAGTTTAAGCGTACGAGCTTGGAAGACTCTGAGGCTGACGAAGACAAGTCCAAGAATGATAATGACGACAGCAAAAGTATCCGCAACGGAGACGTTGGTCGCCCTGCCAGCAGTCTAAGGCGTTCTGCATCGGCGGTGGACTGCACCAGAGCTCCCCGCAGCGGCACCAGCTACAGCAGTCGCCATCGCAGCAAGAGCAAAGGCAAGGGCAAGAAGAAGAAGAGAAGCCACAGCTCAGAGTCCGACAGCTCAGGAGACGACCGTCGCCACAGGAGCAGCTCCAGGAGCAGCTCCAGGAGCAGCTCCAGGAGTAAGTCCAAGAAATCCAAGAAAAAGTCCAAGAAGAGGGCCGAAACTTCGTCTTCTTCCTCGTCTTCAGATTCTGAATCTGATTCAGACTCGAGCTCCGGTGCTTCCACCATTTCCTACCGTAGCTCCAACAGTGTGAAGAGGGCCCCGGTACGAAAGACTTCCAGCCCAGAAAAGGCAGAAGAAGAAGAAGAAGAAGAAGCTAAGCCACCGAGTGGAGGCCTTAACAAAAAGGATGAAAAGAAGAGGAAAAAGAAGGTGGACAACCTGATGTTGAAGTACCTGTACCGGGCGGACAGTGACTGAGGCAGGCAGTAGGTGATGCCTGACATGGACTTAGCTTGAAGTGTGGTTTTCAAGCATGGTGTGACCTAACCAAAGACTTTCGCTTGTCAATCAGCTCACTAACTATTCCACATTTAGTCTGACATGGATCAGACTTAAACACTTAAAAATTCAAATTTTTGGGTTGCGTTTTTGATGATTCATGCCGAACATTTTTGATGTTTACTACTCCACCTCTATGGTTCTCTTTTCACAAGTGAGGTTTTCATTGAAGACTCTCTGGGAGCCGGGGGTTGTGAATGTTTTCACACCAGGAAGTGTAGTGGTGAGAAGCTGCATTCAGCGTGCATGGTAACTCGGCCCTTAATCATTGCTAAGATGTCACTTCGATTTATGGTCTGAAAATAACACGAGTCAAATAAGAATGGCCTTAATACATTTCTCCTTTCTGCCCTGTAACTGCAGTTTGAATTAGACCCCGAGCATTGATTTACAACAAATTACACTTTAATTGGATATGCACGGTTGACAGTAATTAATCCCAGTTTGCAATATTTAAACGGTTTGATTGTTAAATAGTGCTAAGAAGCTGGGCTAGGCTTTTACGTAGACTGCTGAATGGATTGTATTGTTTTTGTTCATTATGATAAATAGAGATGAGGGAAAAACTCACAATACTTTGGATAATAGAATGGTACCTTTTTATTCCCTAAAGAACCAAAAGAACATAGTTGTGCATGCTCTGAGCATATTGCATGAGGTTTATTGCCTATTGGAGCTACATGTCAAGCTGGTTCATGGTAGTTATGAGAGCTCAACATGCTGTAACACAAGAACACAACCTAATCACCCCTTTGACAACATGTACAATTTAGAAAAACCCTGTTAATATAGAAAACACAGCTAGTAGTACACAGTGAGTAATGTACAACACAACAGATTAAGGCTTTTTTTAATTATGAATCAAGAATATTGACTGAACAAACAAATAATGGTAGGCAGTCTTCTTAGCAAACATATATGAACTACTTAAGCTCTCCTCACATTGGTTTTATATAGCAATGCATTGAGCTCTCTGAGACACCAAACTGTCCTCTGCTCACTTTCTCGAAAATAACATCAGCTTCTTCTCGATCTTTCCTTGTAGCACCGCTGGCCGGAAATACTACTACTTCGATAGGTCTGATGAAGAGGAGGAAGAAGAAGAGAAGGAAGGCAGGGGGGCGACCCAGAGCTCTAACTCCCGTGACAGAAACAGCAGCCAAATGAAAGAGGACGATGGCGAGGACGGGCCTTTTGAGACTTCGTCGTAGTCCTCGCTTTCAGCACCTCTGAACGCACCCTCTCGCACTGTGACAGTTTGTCTTGCATGCTAAGTTGACCACGATTGCGGTCACAACCACACACTAAATAACACTCAACCAGAGCTTCCTACGGTAAGGCAGATCCTCCGGGGATTGGTCATAGTTTGACAGACTTTCATCAGTCTCTGCTCAGTGCACACACAGCAGCTCCGTTATTCTCCACTCCACTCCGCTGGTCGCATGCAGGCAGCAGTCGCTCGGCTGTATGGTTGTAAGTGAGCCAAAGAACTTGAGGTTGAAATGATAATCTTTGTCTCTTTCACGCTTCCTCTCTTCGTCACATATATTACACCACAATAATATGTATTGCCATAGTACAATGTATTGCCAAAAAGCCTTTGTTTCAGTATGTGAGCACACTGTTTTTACTTCTTGCCAATTGAGTCCTGAGAAAAGTCCAACAGCCTTTTTTTTCCTTCTCGATCTAATTTCCATTTCGAGTTTCAAGTGCCATCTGATGTAAGTGTTCTCCTCTGCAGCTGTGGCATTTCATTCACTGCTGCACTGTATGCTCTCATCATCTGCTCACTATCTGTTTGCCTGAGAAAGTTTTTCTGCCTTTTTGCTGGTAAATGATCTCTTCCTCAAAGGGGAGGACAATAGCAACACTTTCTGTTCTGCTATAAAAGCATTTGAATCTTTTGTTTTAATGTTTGATAGATTTGTTTGCAGAGGACCGCCGTAGATCAAATTAATTTCCATGATGTTTGAGCTTACCTCTGCAAAAGACCTTGCCTTACTTTTAATTCGACTTGATTTGACTAAATAATTTCCAGAGATTGTGGGTTTGTCCTTGTGCTTGTCTTTTTACGTGTCGTCTGTGTTTTGAGTTCACTGAGCTTTCCTTTTCCACAGGGAATGTACCTGACTTTGGGCACCTTGTCATTTGTATGGTATCCTCAACCAGCATGTTCAAGGAAGTAACTGGTGTTATTCTATATTTGTCTTATAGTCAGCAAATCACATGGCAGGACCAAAACCAACAATCTATTTTCGAGACCTTAGTATATGTGACAAAATGATCTGAGCTTAAATACTTGTACTTTCAACCATCAGCTAATTGGTTCCTTCCTTTAAAGGCTTACAAAAATAAGTTTTCTATTTTCAAAAACGTTCAGTCATTTACTAAATTGCCAGCCACTGTAGTTTTAAAGCAACTGGGAATGCGTTAGTCAATAATAATGTCTCAGCTAGCTTGTTAGCTTGTTTGCTAACTGGACAATACTATTATTCACATTTGATTCAGGAGCCAGATAAAGTGCACAGTGCAACGGCACTATTAGACTTTCCAAAAATATAATTCAAGCAAATTTCAACCAACACGTAGGAAAACCTTTCCCTCAACACGGTGTAATCCAAATGCTTCTACTCATTGCCTCTCAGATAGTTTTGTATCATAATAATTCATCAAGCACTGTTAGCTAGTTCTCTGAATTCAGCGCTAGCACATTAGCCTAGCTTACAGATAATGCAGCAGAACCTTCAATAATAGGCCAGAGTGATGTCATTTAAACATCTTTACAGATACAATTATCACATTTGTTTACCATATGCACTCATTTTGAAAAAGTGACAGCCCTCTCAACATCTTATGATAGTTTTTGTCAGCAGCATTTGATATTGCTGCTCAATGGAAGAAGTTGGACTGTAGGAATTGACCAAACACGTAAATCAACCACTAATTTTACTGTTTCCATTGACATCAATTGATCTTTCATCGTCTTTTCATGGGTTTTCATGATGATACAAGACAACTATTGAATATCACCAGTCCTCTCCTTCGAGCCTCATTGTGTACTTGACTTCAATAACTGGACACACTACAGCCTGTATAACCCATAATGTGAAATCATGTTCAGTGTTGATGAGGCCTGCTTATTTGTCAGGTTTTCTTTTTTAACCCAATGATGCCTCGAAACAGCAAGAGAATAGGAACCTGCAATTTCATGGCTGCTAAAGTGTTACATCCCAAGCTTTTGTCATCTGTCTGGTATTTGAGGAGCATTTATTTATATTTGTGAAACCTTTTACAGTCCAGGAGAGCTTAACGTGGCATTTGGGGCTGAAAAAAAATGTGTGGATGTTGTTCATCATGGGAGAAGTTGTTATTCTACTATACATGCTTTTCTTATACTCATGTCTTCATTTTTATTCTCTATGCAGACAACACAAGTTTGGAAATGTGTTTTTGACCTTATTGATAAAAGTTTCTCGCTTCAACAGAAAAAAAACAAAAGCGCCGGCATAATATTGCTGACTGCACACCGTATTTATATAAAAATATGTGTATGATTGATGCTAGCTTTGAAAATAGTTCATGTTTATTTTCATTATTGAACAAATTGACCACTTGTTATACATTTTGCATTACAGTTTAATATATTGTAAATAAATGATGGTGATTGTTTTAAAATGCATTGAAGACTGGATTTGTGAGTGTCTGAGTGTCAGCAGCGTTGAACAGAAATTTGGAGGCCAACCCGGAAGTTAGCATTGCTGGAGCTACCTCAATAAAAAGCAATGGGATTTTCCTTTAGATTTTTGGGATACTGAAGATGATATTATTTGATACTTTTACATTTTCTAACTGCAATCACCATAAGTAAATAGTTAACGCAAAACTTTAATTCTCCAGAGCTCTTAATGACGTTTACTTGTCTTACTTTTTATGACACAGAAGATTACAGATTCGTTTTATGTCTTAGAACAAAATGTTAAAATCTATTAAGCTTGTGTTAACCACTGACCTTAATTCAGGAATCTAACCAACAACAACAAAAACGTAAAAATGGCCCCACTCGAAGCATGTGAATGCCTCAAAGGGAAATAATAATAATACATTTGATTTATATAGCACACTTTAAAGACAAACGTCATCTCAAGGTGCTTCACAAACCTATAAGGAAAAACAAGTAAAAAGATATCTAAAGGAGCATATAGGATCAAAAATGGCAATATAAAAAATAAAAGGTTAATAAGAGCATAAAAGGTTTAAAAATAAATAAAGGACAGTCAGTAAAATGCGGTGTGGAACAGGTGGGTCTTGAGACATTTCCTAAAAACTGAGAGTGATGCCGAGGTCCGTATGTTCCCTGGAAGCTGATTCCACAGACGTGGACCCAGGGAGGAGAAAGCACGGTTTCCCATGGTGACCAGTTTTGTCCGTGGAACAGCCAGGAGATTGGAGCTGGCTGACCTGAGTGTGCGTGAAGTATGGGAATGTTTTCTGGTTAGCAGTTCCTGTAGGTACTGGTAGGTGGGGCCAGTGTGGTTGATGGCGTTGAAGGCAAGGCAAGGCAAGTTTATTTATATAGCACTTTTCAACACAAGGCAATTAAAAATGAAAGACATTAAGAAAATGGCATTTAAAATCAGTCATTAAAAAGAAAAGGTAATAAAATAAACATTAAAAGAAAAAATACATGGATAAAAGTTACAGTGCAGTCTAAGATATGAATAGTTCAATTAAACATTAAAATAAAAAATACATGGATAAAAGTTACAGTGCAGTCTAAGATATGAATAGTTCAATTAAACATTAAAATAAAAAGTACATGGATAAAAGTTACAGTGCAGTCTAAGATATGAATAGTTCAATTAAAAGCAGCGACAAAAAGAAAAGTCTTCAGCCTGGATTTAAAAGTAGTAAGAGTTGCAGCGGACCTGCAGGTTTCTGGGAGTTTGTTCCAGAGATTTGGAGCATAATAACTGAACGCTGCTTTACCATGTTTAGTTCTGACTCTGGGGACAGAGAGCTGACCAGTCCCTGAAGACCTGAGAGATCTGGATGGTTCATAATTTAGCAGGAGGTCAGAAATGTATTTTGGGCCTAAACCATTCAGTGCTTTATAAACCAGCAGCAGTATTTTGAAATCTATTCTTTGACACACAGGAAGCCAGTGTAAAGACTTCAGAACAGGAGTGATGTGATCCACTTTCTTAGTGTTAGTGAGGACTCGAGCAGCAGCGTTCTGAATTAGCTGCAGCTTTCTAATAGATTTTTTAGTGAGACCTGTGAAGACACCATTGCAGTAGTCGAGTCTACTGAAGATAAAAGCATGGACAAGTTTTTCCAAATCCTGCTGTGACATTAGTCTTTTAATCCTAGATATATTCTTTAGGTGATAGTAGGCTGATTTAGTAACTGTTTTAATGTGACTGTTGAAACTCAGGTCAGAGTCCATGACTACACCTAGATTTCTGGCTTTATCTGTTGTTTTGAACATTGCACACTGAAGCTCAGCGCTAACTTTTATACGTTCTGACTTGGCTCCAAAAACCATTACCTCAGTTTTATCTTTGTTTAATTGGAGAAAGTTCTGACACATCCAGTCATTGATTTGTTCAATGCACTTAATCAGTGTTTGAATTGGAGCATAGTCTCCTGGTGAAATTGTTACGTAAATGTGTGTGTCATCTGCATAGCTATGGTAACTTATTTTGTTGTTCTTCATTATCTGAGCCAGTGGTAGCATGTAGATGTTAAAGAGAAGAGGCCTCAAGATGGAGCCTTGAGAAACCCCACATGTCATATTTGTCAACTCAGATGTGTATTTACCTATAGAAACAAAGTTGTTTCTGTCCTTTAAGTAGGATTCAAACCAATTCAGAACTGTTTCCGAAAGTCCCACCCAGTTTTCCAGTCGGTCTAGTAATATGTTGTGGTCAACAGTGTCAAACGCAGCTCTGAGATCTAATAATACTAACACTGAAGTTCTGCCACTGTCTGTGTTTAAGTGGATGTCAGTGCAAGAGCAGTCTCAGTGCTGTGGTTTGGACGAAAGCCTGACTGGAACACATCGAAACAGTTATTTAAATGCAAGAAATTACTCAACTGTTGAAAAACAACTTTTTCAATGATTTTACCTAGAAATGGCAGGTTTGATATGGGCCTGTAATTGTTCATTACTGAAGCATCTAGATTATTCTTTTTTAAGAGCGGTTTAATGACTGCAGTTTTCAGGGCCTGTGGAAAAATACCTGAGTGAAGAGATTTGTTTACTATATGAAGTAGGTCTGAGGCCATGCAAGGCAAAACATCTTTGAAAAATCCTGTTGGAATAATATCAAGGCAGCAGGAGGAGGATTTCAGAAGTTGTATAATGTCCTCTAGGTTTTTATCATTAATCTGATGGAATTGTGTCATGATGTCTGAATTGATGTTAAGTGGACACAGAGACAACACATTTGCTGTACCTGATGCAGAGGCACTGACTGCTTGTCTGATTTTCTGAATTTTGTCAGTGAAAAAGGAGGCAAAATCATTGCACGCCCTGGTGGATAGAAATTCAGAGGCTACTGACACTGGGGGGTTAGTTAGTCTGTCGACGGTAGCAAACAAGGCACGTGCGTTGTTTTTGGTAATGATGTCAGAGAAGAACGATTGTCGTGCGTTTTTCAATTCCAAATTATAAAGGCCAAGTCTCTCTTTATAGATTTCAAAGTGAACCTGGAGATTTGTTTTTCGCCACCTGCGTTCAGCTTTTCGACAATCTCTTTTTTTTGTTTTCACGCTCATGGCCTTTCTCCATGGAGATATTTTATTCCCAGTCACTTCCTTTACCTTAGTTGGAGCAATGGCATCTATAACATTTTGAATTTTTGAATTAAAATGATCTACTAGCTCATTTACTGAGATGTTAGCAGGGGCAAGTGTGGAAGAAAAATTCTGAATAAACATTTCCCTAGTATTTTCAGTTAAATATCGCTTTGTGGTTACCTCTTTTTGAACATTTTTGTGAACAGAAATAGAGCTCTCAAAGAAAACACAGGAATGGTCAGAGTGCCAAATCAGTCACCACAACCTTAGAGATATTCAGACCCTTTGAGATAATTAAGTCCAGAGTGTGCCCCTTATTGTGCGTGGGCTCCGTCACATGCTGAGTCAGTCCATAGCTATCAAGAACACAAAACAGTTCTTTAGCCCCTCTGTCCTGGGGGTTGTCAACATGGATGTTAAAATCACCAACAATGACTAGACGGTCAAAGTCAATACACACTATAGACAGCAGTTCAGTAAAGTCATCAAAAAAGCTTGCACAGTATTTGGGTGGTCTAGATATTTAGGAACAGAGCTCGAGAGGAGCATTTCAGCTGAAGGGCCACATATTCAAAAGAAGCAAAGTTCCCATAAGATGTCTTCCTGCATTGAAGGGAATCATTGAACAGAATAGCAACTCCACCCCCTTTCTTATGCATTCTTTCCTGACTCATAAAACTAAAGTTGGGAGGGGTTGATTCGATAAGAACAGCTGCACTGTTATTTTGTTCAATCCAAGTTTCTGTTAAAAAACATAAAATCGAGATTGTGCTCAGTGATAAAATCATTGATTAAAAATGTTTTTCCTGCCAAAGACCTGACATTTAATAAAGCTAGTTTAAGTTTGTTAAACACACTATCAGTCATGTTTTTTGTAACAAGCTGTGGCTGCCATGGAATCAATGCTAAATTAGATAAACTCACACAAACGTTTGAGCGCTTCCTGTTTCTAAGCTGATTCACCGCTCTTAATCTATTACCTATCAACACAGATATCGGCAAAGCTATAGGCAGGCAGGGCCCCGGCATGTCCTGGAAAGAGTTGAGAGTGCCATACGCCCTTGAGCCTGGACCCAGCAAATATCAGTTTGCAGCGTTTAGTACACACACATCCTTATCAGGCTTCGGAGACTGCAGATGCTTTCTTGAAGGGAGGGGAGGTGGTTGACGTAGGCACGGTGATGGAGACGGGGGAGATGGTGCGGGGGTAGAGGACATGCTGCCAGGGGGGGGAGGTGGTTGACGTAGGCACGTGATGAAGACGGGGGAGATGGTGCGCGTCTCTGCGGTGATTTTGGTGGGCGTCGTTGAGGAGCGGGGGTAAAGGACATGGTGCCAGCCCTGCGTATCGCCTTAGTTTGGTCTTTGAACTCCAGGAAGGAATCGGTGCCAACCCTCTGTATCTCCTTCATGTGTTCAACGATCCCCAGGAGGGTGGGCGAGGGTGAAAGGGTGAACGGAGTATCCTCAAAGGCGTTGACAGGGGGGGGGAGGTGACGGGCAGTGGAGACTCCTCCATGTGTCTCATAGGTCTCCCATAATCAGAACATTCCTCAGGCGGGTGCAGTGATAATTCTTCAGGGTTTTATGTGTTGTGTCTTTCTCCTGTTTTGATTCCTCTTGCCGCTTGTCCTTGGCAGAGGGAACAGATTGATAACGCAGGCAGTTGAATATGTTAGAGATAAACAATTTCACTCCTGACTTGTTCAAGCAAACTCCATTTGCCTTAAAAAGATGTCTGCGGTCCCAGAAAAAGTTAAAATTGTCAATAAAATGAACAGAATGGTCAGTACAGACAGTTGAAAGCCAGGTATTCAGTGCAAACAATCTGCTGAATCTCGCCACTCCTCTTCTGACTGGCGGTAGAGGGCCACTGAT